TACCTCAACAGGAAGCCTCCGCGAGCTATTATTTGGAGCTTGAGGCGGTCCCATCACCGGTTACCATTGCCTTCGCTACATCTCTCCGGTACAAGATCCATCATACTCCGTACATGCAATCTGATTAGATTTTGATTTCACCTTGGAATGTCCCATTCTGGCCGACGCCTCAAGTGGAGTGACCACACATGCCCTGTACAAAGAAGCCCTAAGGAGAAGAAAAAAAATGGTTACTTGATTATCCAACGAACGAACGCTAAGACATCGCCAAGACCTTTTCTCCTGGTTTATTTCTTACGGCGTGGAGTGCATTAGACTTCTAAGATTGTACCAATCTGCCGAGTTCGGTGCTTTTTTTTAAGCGCTAGACCTTGGACGTACATTTACTATAAGGGCAAGGATTTCCCTTGGGCTCTGTGATCCTTTTGAGTTCCTCCAACCTTTCTTTTATATTTCCTGATCTCCAGATCGACGATATGGGTATTTCCAGATTCCGATCTGCCTTCCGGCGATCATCGACCCATGAGTCTGTTACTCAAGTTGCTGTCAGCACTGATGGCGAACAAAAGAGTGAAATTCCCACAGAGACTGTTGCTGTAGCCAATAGTGAAAATCCTGAAGTTCCCACCGAAGATGTACAGCAGGGTGTCAGAGATGTCGAGGCTGTGACTTTGAGCTGGACGAAGACCATGCTGATTGCGGTCTTTGCAAAGTAAGCTTCTATCTTGTTAGCTCCACGGGCGATACGATCCGTGCAAGCCAGCTTGTTTACTAACATGAATCTTCAACAGTATCTGGTTTTTGTACTTCGTCAATGCTATGCAATCCTCGATTAATTACAGTTTGCTCAGCTATGTCACCAGTGACTTCGAGAGTCACTCCCTCCTGAATGTTATCTACATTGTCGCAGACGCAATGACTGCCGCCGTATACATCCCCACTGCCAAGGTTATGGACGTTTGGGGCCGCGCAGAAGGCTTTTTGGCAATGACCGTTTTTGCTACACTCGGTCTGGTTCTCATGGCTGTGTGCCACAACCTTCCCACATTCTGCGCTGCCTACGTCTTCTACAGCATTGGATTTGGAGGTATGACATACTGCGTTGATGTCATCACCGCCGATATTTCCAAGTTGAAGAATCGAGGTTTGGCTTACGCTTTCACCTCTTCGCCATACATCATCACAGCGTTCGCTGGCCCCAAGGCTGCGGAGGGCTTCTACGAAGATATTAGCTGGCGATGGGCCTTTGGCGCATTCTCCATCATCTTCCCCATTGTTGCCTCCCCTCTTTACTTCATCTTGAAGAGCAACCTTAAGAAAGCCAGACAGAACGGTCTTATAGTCAAGGAGCCTAGCGGCCGGACTTTCTTGCAAAATGTTTGGTTCTATACCAAGGAATTCGATTGTAAGTGAAGAACTTATCAAAGCGTTGGACTTGGCCGGAATACTAACTTGCATAGTGTTTGGTGTCCTCGTGTTCTCCATCGGCCTTACAATCTTCCTCCTTCCATTCAGTATTTCCACTTATGCTCCTAACGGCTGGGCATCAGGCTACATCATTGCTATGATCGTGCTCGGATTTGTTATGCTTGGTGTCTTCCTTGTTTGGGAGTTCCGCTTTGCTCCCACCCCAATGTTCGACTTCAGTCTATTGACCGACCGAACTGTCATTGGTGCATGCTTGCTCGACGCGACATACCAGCTCTCTTACTACTGCTGGAACAACTACTACACATCCTTTTTGCAGGTAGTCAATGACCTCAGTATCTCTGAGGCTGGTTACGTTAGCAACACTTTCGACGTGGTATCCGGCTTCCTTTTGCTCGGAGTCGGTTTCGTCATTCGCAGGACTGGTCGCTTCAAGTGGACCCTCTACATTGCGGTCCCGCTGTATATCTTTGCTCAGGGATTGATGATTCACTTCCGCCGTCCCAACCAGTCTGTCGGCTATCTTGTTATGTGTCAGATTTTCATCTCTATCGGTGGATCTGTTTTTATCATTGTTGAGCAGCTTGCTATCTTGGCTGCCGCCGACCACCAGCACGTCGCAACCGTTCTTGCTCTGCTGAACGTCGTGGGTACTGTTGGTAATGCTGCTGGTTCTACCATTTGCGCCGCGATCTGGACCAACACGTTCTACAAGGCCCTTGCGACGAGGCTACCAGAGAATGTTATGGGAGACATCGATCTGATTTACGAAGATCTTGCCCAGCAGTTGTTCTACCCTGTCGGATCCGCAGCGAGACTGGCTATTCAGGAAGCTTATGCCTATTCGCAGACAAGAATGCTTGCTGTTGGCACCGGTCTTATGGGTCTGTGTATCTTCTGGACCCTTATGATCCGAGATATCGACCTGAAGAAGGTTGCTCAGGTCAAGGGTACCGTCTTCTAAGGTGTTTGCCTTCGTCCTTCGAGATAATTTTCGTCGACACTGTTGATGATCCTTTTCCTATTATACAAAAAACGCACCAAACTGCCACCAGGCAGTTATAGACTGGATTTACTCTTTGTACCTTATATTTAATCATGTTCACATAACGATCTGAATGCGGAATGTTATGACTATCCGAACCCATTGTTCTGTTCTGGCAATCTGTAGCCCTCATGGCAATGACCTCGGGAGCTTTGACACATATTAATAATGCTAGCCGTGGAAGTGATAAGATCTACAACGTAAGGGAGATCATGAAAAGACTGTACAATGTGTATTGTGCAGAGTGCAGAGCTATGTAAAGGGGAAAGGAAGGATGGTAGTAAACTACATACATGGGGAGAAACGTCATGTGACACTAGGGAGATTCAACAGGAAGGGTACCAGGTTGGACAGCTGACTTGATTATCACTACATGTATGCCAAGCGTGCAATTCCCGAAAGGATCCCACCTTTAAGGAGTATACGGAGTATATTGTACTGTTCTCGGTGTCAAGAATTGCAGGGGCCCACGCCGAGTTTCCAGCGACCTGCAGCTCGCTTCGTGTTTGCTTCCGTTTACCGGTATGGTATGTAATATAATGTAAGTTACTGAAATATACCGCTGTCAGTAATCTATGTATCTGAGTATGAGGACAAATACGACCTCCATTTGCTTTGATGAACTCTATAACCATCTCCAAAACAATCATATGCTCTGTACCTACCTAATTTGGCAGTCTACGAAGCCCGCTGTCTTAGCAGATCCACGTATGACTAGAGCCCATCCACTCTCAGGTGGAACCGACCAAAATGATCTGATAACTTTTTTTTTTCACGTGTGCCTTTACCGTTTTTGCATGGCAGAAACCCATTTCCTTTCGGCTCAAGCGGCCCTGTCCACACATGGCTGAGAATCTCGATCCACATCGACTCAATTAGCAAAGCAAAACTCCGTAATTGTCAGGTAGCTGGGCTCAGGATGATCTCCGGGAACATTTCCCCTGTGGAAAAACAAGCCGAGCTTCTACCACGTTGCTTAGTGGGTATGGCCGCGTGCTAACGCCCAGCCGGATGCTCCTCGGCTAAAACGCTCCGAACGGTGTCGAATCTGATAATTTCTCTGACCATCTGATTAGATTCAGCTGTTGGTCTGGGTCCTTTTAGCGCAATGTGGCGCTTTTATCTGATCCGAAGGCCTTCGGTGGATAGTGAGACACATGGCCCGCCAAACGGCAGCCCATGGTCCTCTATGGATGTCCGCGTTCAGCCGACTTCATCTCAAGCCATTTCATGCCCGTGAAGACGATAACTCATTACGTACTTGAAAGGTAGCAAGCAATCTCGCAGATAGCATGATTTCGGATGCCCGGCATAAAGAATAAAGCTTGCTGCGTGACTGATTTGTGCCACTAAGTCCGATTTTCGTTGAATATCAGGTATAACTCGATGTCATTCCTAGCGCGTTCATCTCGACGACTTACGGTCCGTGAGATTCAAACCCGCATAGATGGCTTTGAAGGTTTCATGAACAGATATATATGGTTTCCTAGCAATCTATCAACTAGACCACCTGGGGTTGAATATCATGTGCACAGGTATTTCTGCCACTAGCTTTAACACTGGAATATGAACATTCAAACATTGGTGGGATGCACCCACAACTCAAGCCTTCTTTTGCACATGTAGATGTGTAATGTCTCTCAAGCGATGCCTGTCTTGCAAGTTTTTCAATTTGTAGTATCGCGACTAGATCTCCAGTATCATGTTCAGACACTATTTCACCCTCTCCTCCTTCTCCAGCATAGACCACAGTGCCACAGGGAGTTCAACGCTTACTGTAGTCTTACACTATGCCCAGGCGTGTCTCCTTTGGTCGGACTAATCTGTCCCATTCATGATACATTGATACATCCTTCTCTTTATCTTGCCTGGAATTACTTCTCAATGACCAAATATACCTTGTGGTTGTCACACGTGACCTCGAAGCCCTCAAAATGCTAATCTCATTGTTCAGAGAAAAACACCAATGCATATGTCCATCCAGCCACTATAGCAGGCTGTGAAACACTATCCATGCCTTTCATAGAAGGCAAATATGCATGTAGCTAAGTTGCTCTCGCTTTTCCCTATTGTGACTTCCAAATTTGTGGTACCCGGTGCAAAACAGAGTATGATCGCCATTGCGATGTTGGGCAAACAGTTATAATATCAATAACAGGAAGCATAGCACATGAAATTGGAGTGCCTTTTCTGTTGCCACTTCTGGTCTCCAGCTCTTTAGTCTCTCACTTCTCACTTTATTTGTCTCTTGTCTTTCATCTGTTTTTCTCTTTCCTACTTCACACTCAGTCCCCATCCAGAGCCATTCTACAATTGCAAAGCCACAAGTGTCCCTTTGTGTCTGCTCTTCCTCAGCTGTATTCCCTACTGCCTGTGTGGTTCTTCACATTGAAGATACACTAAACCTCTCATCGAAGTTGCCCTCAGGCCAAATTTTGTCTGATAAGACAGCCAAACCAGCGTGGGTCGGCAAAGAGTCCCATCATCTTTTGTATTTTCTTTTTCTCTTGTTCTGAGATTGTTCAAAATGGCCCCTTCGCCCTCGCGCATCGCGGCCCAAGAGGGTGACGCATATGCCGACTCAACAATGATCAAGATGCAGCGGTTGGTCCTCGCGATGGACCTTTCCCCAGCCGAGCCAGCAGTCAAAGAATCATTTCATGAGACCTTGTGCAAGAAGTCCCTGCAAGATATTGCGTGGATCCATGCACAGCTTGATTACGCAAACCCATTCCCTCTTTCCTCAGAAGAGATCACGAAGGGTCTCATCAATCCATTTGTGGAGTACGAAAGTTTGCTTCATGAGATGCAAGCCTTGAAAGGCCAGATTGGCCTGCTAAACTCTGACATTGCTCTGCCTAGCCTTTATAATCTCCCAGCCGCTGAAATCGACAGTCTACCTACACTGATTCGGATCAACTTGTTTCGACGGGAATCACACTTGCCTCTGATCGAAAACATTCCTAACCCATCGAGACTTGCAAAGCCATTTATGTGGAGCCCCAGCGATGTTATCCCTAATAGGATTTCAGAGCTCAAAGACATTATCAGGTGGTATAAAAAGGCCCATCTGTATCTGGAGGTTGAAGCAGCCAGATGCAAAATTCTCTTGACTATTCGGCATCGTGATCTTCTAGATAAGGTAGGTATTGATATCTGCCATTCTGAAGATTTAATGACTGACGATTTTTCTCACCAGCCCGATAACGGCTTCGCATCACGCCCGCCTTCTGGTGTCAAACAAAGCCAGATTTATGAAGACGACTGTGGTAAACCGGCTACACAAGGTCAGCTCGACTAGAATGAGATATCATCCACTATTAATCATGGAAAGCGGAAGAACCGCAAAAGGAAGAACAAGGGCTGTGAAGGGAACGCTGTCGCGGGACTCCCCTGGTTCAGCCAAAGGCGATGCTTCAATCAGCGAGCCTACTAAGGACCTCGTCTCGTCAGAATTGCCAGCATTGCATACTAGCTCCGCCATCTCTCCTTAGTCGAGCGCATCTCCCCATCCCACCGCAACCCGAGCTCGGCCTATCAATGCCAGGGAGAGACCTCCTCGACACCCTGTACGAGATGCTTGTGGAATGTGCAAACCGTACTGAGCTCCGGGCCCTTCACACTGCCGAGCCTCAAACCCCCCACTCCGAGTTCTGATAGTGAGACTATCGTGGGAGAAACAACACTACAGGATCCCAAGAATGATCACCATGGTGAAGATACGGGAAAGCGTCCCTGGGAAATCCAGAGCCAGCCGAGGATAGAGAACAAACTTTCTGTCACAATTTCCTCACATTAACCTTACATTCTCAATCCGGAAGTGTCATCCCTTCCTCTGAGGCGCCAAAGGACAGGACCCGAGAGGGAAATGAGCCACTTTGTGCCCCTCCCGTCAGGAACTGTGATAGCAGCTGTGGGCGTCAGAAGGAGCCTAGACGAGGGAGTCGTTGTTTCAAGATTTTTGACCTTCCTGGAAGCAACCGCCCTCGCTTTGCGGAGTTGGATCCATGGCTGAGCAAGTCTGGCTCTTCCCATAGCGAGGGACACAGTGTGTGGGCTGAACCCTGCATGCCGCTACCCCCCACGGCAGGATTGGCAGAGATCCCGCTGCTGTCCTTACTACGCAGACGACTGCTGTCACTGCTCGAGCAATACAGGCACCAGGGATTTACTGAGTTAGCAGGTCTCACCGTCCTGGTGCTGGGCAGCCTAATGGTGGTTGTCTCAGCCTTGGCTTGGGCGATGAAGTGCAGTTTATTGGGGGGCGGGGGAGGCAGGGACAAAATACAACCATTTCAATTATTCTTTACATTGTGGTCAGATTCTGATAAGATTCTTATCACTTTGGTATGAGTTTTCTTGTGTCTCCCTATCCACTACCTATCGTTACTAGTGGTTGCAAACAAGGTTCTTTCCTAGCATATACCCTAACTCACGGTTTCGTCGATTCAGCCTCTACACACTCTCACACTACGTTTATCCAATCTCATCCCATCCCATACCTGTTTTGTACCTTTCATGAATCTAAATCCCAACTTTTTTCATTGCATCGCGCATCATGGCATTTCAATCCGCGGATACATATGATTGGTTCAGCCAGCTGAAAGAGCCAAACCGCGGGTGCCACAAATAGGTCGAGAAGTAAATCGATACCAAGTACGCGAGACCGGAACCGTGGAAGCCAGGGGATGAGTCTGGCACCGACGCAACGTTCGACGGTGGCCACCTCGCCCTCCTATGTCGAAGTGGAAGATCAGTGGGCCACCCATCGACTGCACGGGCGTGAAGAAGCATTTTACCTTCACCCGTAGCAACTCGGCAAAGGGAAGGAAAGTGGCCCGGGACCACTCCTCCCTGAGGGTCCCGCTGCTGATAGTGACATCGGGTCCGACGTTGATGATGGCGACTGCTCTATGAGATCCAGATCGGAAAGTCCCAGCGTGCTTTCCGACCTGATGTCATTGGACAGTCATAGATCGTCACGAGCTAGTTCACCAAACGACATCAGCATGGAGGGCACGGTCCAACAACTTGCCGCCGCCCCGTTGCAGGAAGATGGGTCCCAGGCGACCACCAACGACGATTGGGTGATGCCAGACGCACCACCCATTACCACCCCACGCATGAACCAGCAGCAAGTGGAGACTACTTGCCCAACAGGACATCTCCCCGACCCCGACCTCGAACGGTTGAACGGCCAGGACGTTGACATGGACTGGGATGAGGAGCCCGTGACCACGCTCAACAAAGATGACCCGGCGGCTCCGAGCCAGGCATCTAGTGATCACGTTCCGCTCATTCCTGCATTCACTGTTGATGCCGACAACGATGCCGTGACTTCAGGTCCGATATCTAGCGCCGCGGTTCCCCTGCGATGGAATCATTATGGCAGCCGAAGACCCACAGGGTAAACGATGCCGGGGGGTATCTATGCATTGCTGACCCTGTCAGCCAAATACCGATCTGGACACCTAAGCTATGAGTTTGACGAGTGTGGGGAAGTGCGCAAAACATGTAAATCGGACCACAACGTCAAAGCTGCCCCTAGTGCTTTTACTATCAGGCTGATCATCGGCGACAAAAGCTTCGTACAGATGCCAACAATTGACAGACAACTGTACACCCACCTGGGTACCTACCCAGCTGGCCATGCCCAGCTAGCGACCGCCAAACTCAAATTCCCCAAGGAATTCATCTGCGACAACTTCGAGAGATACAATGAGTTCGGACCATACCACGATGATCACTCTGGCCCGTAGTCCCGTCACTGCACTCCGCCTACTTGATGCCACCGGCTACCCACCGTTGTGGTCAATGTGAACAACCTATAGGTCTTGCGTGATATATAGACACATCCCCGCTTATTCCTGGCACTCTTCCCACTCGTCGGATTACGAGCCTCATCAAAGCTATGCTGGCGCTCTACAGATGGCAACATTCCAACTGCTATCCCGGATCTGTGAGTGGGTGGTGAGCAAAAGGGACAGAAAAGGTAATTTATTTTAGTGTCGGATTTAGAAGTGGAATCAATTGCAAGTTGAAGCAAAAGCGAGATTAAGCAAATTACTGGGCTAGATCTAAACTACGGAGTGGCAGATGGACTTAGCTATAGAGTGGGGTTAGGCAGCTTGGGGGATAAAAGATATCCACGGGCCAGGTAACTTCAAGTAATAGGTAATATAAGCATAGCTGCTCTATTGTTCGAGTATCCAGTGTTATTCATGAAATCATAAGTCTTCCATTTTGGTATCTATGTCATAAAACGAAAAGGAACCGGTCCTTTCTATACATGTAGGAAGCCTATCGGCCATTCTTCCAGGTACGAAGAAAGCTTACTGCTTATCGGGGAAGCCGAAGTTGACACCGAACGGAGGGTAGACAAAGCGCTGGAGCTTGCCCTCGGCCTGGAGGTCATCGCTGTACTTGCGAAGGGTAGCGAGATCCTCAGCATCCAAGTGGATCAAGTCGGCACGGTTGGCCTCGATACGGGCAGGGGTGACGGACTTGGCCAGGACTGAAGAGCCACGGGCGACTAGAAACCAATCTGTTAGTACGCTGTAATCGGAGTACGGTGCAGACCTTGGATGGTACTTACTGTGCCAGCTGAGCAGAACAGTAGCCGGAGTAACTCCGCGCTTGTTGGCGACAGCCACGATGGGCTCAGCAGTGAACAGCGGGCTGCCAGTGCTGCCCAGTGGGCTGTAAGCGGTAATGTGGATGCCAGCCTTGTTGCAGAAATCGACAATCTCCTGCTGGGGGAGCAAGGGGTGGTTCTCGATCTGGTTGGCAGCGGGGATAATAGTGGCCTGGGGCAGGAGTTCCTCGAGGAACTTGACGCTGTAGTTGGAAACACCGATGGCCTTGACCTTGCCGGTGCCAACGAGCTTCTCCATACTCTTCCACGTAGTAACGTGGGAGTGGCTGTGGACAATGTCCCGCGATCCATCGGCGAGCTTAGGGAAGAGGTTGTGGTTGCCTGCGTTGGTAGTGGTCAGCACCTCGAATCTGCATATCTGAAGAAACTTAACTCACCCTTGGGGTTCATTGCCAAAGGCCAGTGCATCAGATATAGGTCAACATAGTCGAGTCCGAGGTCTGTCAGACTCTGCTGGAGGCCCTCCTCAACACGGGCGTGGTAGGAGCACCACAGCTTTGTGGTCACGAAGAGATCCTCGCGCTTGACAATGCCGGCGTCAATGGCCTCCTTGATACCTTGGCCGACTTCGTTCTCATTACCGTAGCAAAGAGCGGCATCAATGTGACGGTAGCCCACCTTGATGGCGTGGAACACAGCGCGCGCAACCTCGCCGGGCTGGGATTGCCATGTTCCCAAGCCAAGTGCGGGGATCTCCGCACCGGTGTTGAGCTTGAAACGGGTGTCGCAGGCAGCCATTGTGAATTTATTGGGGTATCAAGAGACAAAGAAGATTATATACAGGAAAGAATAAGGAAAGTAAACAGATTGAAGTTGAAATGGGAAGAAAGGCGGGGGGTTTACTAAGTATAACAAATATAACAAACCCCCACGCGGCTATCGTCCCAAGGTTATTCCGTTCCAAGGGGGCCAAGGAAGCATTTTTCCATCAATCACCTCATCGTCTTCTGGGATGTCGATATTTTCTAGAATATTCCCTTGAGGAGTAAATCGTCTCCATTTCCATCTCAAAAAGATCGAACATCACCACACAATAACCGTCAGATCAAAATCAGATCAAAGTCCAAAAGATAAACCACCAAATCAGCGGAAACCGTCTTCCAGATCGAAGAGTTTCCCCCCACTTGACATCACAGCCACTCCGCATGGTTGGCTTGGGGTCGTGGGCTGTGCCAATCATCGTCGCCCTTTTGGAGAGCAACCCAGATCTTCATCGACGCGGAAGCCAGAATCCGTGATGTTTCAATTTTTCGTCCCACGAAGAAGTACAATCGATGTCATGGAAAACAAGGCAAATGAATATGGGGGGAATCCTCGCACAACCGCTGATATCGGAAATCTACACGCGACATTCCATATACTAGATTTTCCAGGCCTTGACCCTATATATACGCTCGACATCCGAAGATCTATCTCTCTTTTAAACCCAGACTTTACTGATTTGTTAATTGCAATCCCATTTGGCAAATCTTAAGCATCAATCTTACATATAAAAATCAAACAATACATTCTTCCAGACAGTCAAAATGGCACCAGTTGCTGTCTCCCCACAGGCCTCCCCAGTTTTCAAGAAGCGGGACGGCCAGGCGCTCGAAGAGCTCTCCAACGCTATTGATGAGATCAACGTTCTCAAGGACATGAAGAAGCGCGAGGCCGAGAAGAAAGAGGCCGAGAAGAAAGAGGCCGAAGAGAAGGGTCTATACGAGGAGTCCGAGTTCGACAAGGAGAAAGACAAGACCAACTTCCGCCAGTACGAAGACGCCAGCGACCGCGTCAAGAACTTCTACAAGGAACAGCACACCAAGCAGACCGTCGCCTACAACCTGAAGGCCCGCCACGACTTCCACAGCAAGACGCGCGCCGAGATGACCGTCTGGGAAGCCATGGAGAAGCTCAACACCCTGATCGACGAGTCAGACCCCGACACCAGCCTCTCCCAGATCGAGCACCTTCTCCAATCTGCCGAGGCCATTCGCCGCGACGGCAAGCCGCGCTGGATGCAGCTGACCGGTCTAATCCACGACCTGGGCAAGCTCCTCTTTTTCTTCGATGCCGAAGGCCAATGGGACGTTGTTGGCGACACGTTCCCCGTTGGCTGTGCCTTCGACGAGAAGATCGTCTACGGCCGCGACTCGTTCCGCGATAACGAGGACTACGGCCACAAGATTTACGATACTAAGTTCGGTATCTACACGCCCGGCTGCGGTCTCGATAAGGTCATGCTCTCCTGGGGCCATGACGAATATCTGTACCACCTCGCCAAGGAGCAGTCGACCCTCCCTGATGAGGCGCTCGCTATGATCCGCTACCACTCTTTCTACCCTTGGCACAGCGCCGGTGCGTACCACGAGTTGATGAATGACCACGACCGTGATATGCTGCGTGCTGTCAAGGCTTTCAATCCTTATGACTTGTACAGCAAGAGTGATGGAATTCCCAGTGTCGAGGAGTTGAAGGTATGTTTTGCTTCTACTGATGATTTGGACTCGAGGCTGACTTGTTTCTTTCTAGCCCTACTACCTGGAGCTCATCGATGAGTACTTCCCCACCAAGGTTCTGAAGTGGTAGATGTCTGCGATTTGGTCTTTATGCGTCTTTTTTCTATACGAGTTCTTTCATGATTCCCCGTTTTCCTTCCAGCTCCATGGAAGTAGCCACGATATATGCCATATCTTTCAATTAGCGTTATAAATCATACTTTTCCATCATTTTGGGCAATCAAAGTCAGAAATTAGATTGATAGAGACGAAAGTTATTTGCCCTTCAACATACTATCAATAGTGCGTACGCTGGTAAATGACATCTAGAGTATGCTGGATTGAATTGTATTATGTATCACTATACTCTGCTTTGTAAAGCACAGCCCGCTTATCTGCATGTCATGGAGTTGTTTGTTGAGGCTACGAAACAACCTATTGGGGAGAACCAAGAGGAGAAATCTGCTCTATTCAATCTATGAAGAAAAGGCCTTTTATAAGGCCACAATCTAGCAGAACAGGCAAACAAGCAAGCGCTCAGTTTGCCTAACAAATAGGGCATCCATCTATGAGCGATGGGATGATCCAACATTATGAAATAATTTCCCTTCGGTGTTGCCATATGTAGATTTAGTAGTCTAACTTTAAACCAGAGTACATTGGAAGACTGCATCCATATTGAAAGTCATATATCAGTTTAATTTCAAAGCGTATCTATAAAGCAATGCATGTATATATGGTGTATATTTTTAAAACACAAGACAAATCACACATCTACAAACGAGCCAACTCGGACCGGTTCCCAGCCTCGTCAAAGAAGATCTTCTTCCCGGTAATCAACGACTCCTGCAGCGCAGCACCAATCCGAACAGCCTTAACAGCGTTCTCAAGATCAATAGGTAGCGCCGTGTTATCAAGACAAGCAGCCGAGAACTCATTAGCCTCGGTAACGAACGCATACTCAAAGCGATCGTAGTAGTTCTGGGGGATCTCCCTCCTGATGCCGGACTCATCAAAGATGTTGACATGGTTCAGCGCAGGCTGGGTGTTAACAGCCAGCTTGCCCTTGGTGCCAATAATCTCAGTGGTGTCCTCCTGACCAGCAGCCATCATGCGGGAAGCATAGAAGTAGGCCATGCGGCCGTCGTAGAACTCGACCAAGCCGACGGCGTTGTCGCGGTCGTTGTGCTTGCGCAGATCGGGCTCGACGGCTGTGATGCCTACTGCCGAAACGGACTTCACTTTACATCCGTCGCCGAAGAACCAGAGGGTCAGGTCGATGTCGTGGATGGAGCAGTCGACGAAGATACCGCCGGAGAACTCTGCGTACGCGACGAAGAAGCCGCTGGGGTCGAGCTTGTCGCAGGTTTGGCTGCGGAGGACGGATGCAGTGCCGATTGCTCCTGATTGCATCTTCTTGTAGGCGTCTCGGTAGGAACTGTCGAAGCGGCGAGAGAAACCGCACATCACTTTGAGGTGTGGGTTCTTCTTTGCTGCGTCGACGACAGATTGGGACTGTATAAGAGGTGGATTGTTAGTTCTTGGTTTCAATGTTTGGTTCTTCGTATTTTGGCGGACTGGACTGAATTGGGGTTTGAGATGAATTTAAAATACGACCAACTTACCACTTCGGGGCTTGTAGAGAGAGGCTTCTCGCAAAGAGTGTGCTTGCCAGCTTCAATTGCCTTAATTGCTTGCTCGGCATGCACTATAGTTGCCGATGCAACCACCACGGCAACCAGACCTTCATGCTTGAGCATATCATCGTAGTTCTGGTACAGGGTCACGCCAAAGGGTTCGAGGTGAATCTTGGCCCATTCGAGCTCGGCGGGGTCAGGGGAGCTGGCAGCCACAAGTTCAGCTCGGGGAGTACGCTGCAGGAAGTTCAGGGCATGGCGCTTGCCCATACGGCCAAGACCAGCACAACCAATCTTCAATTTTTGGGCAGACATTGTGAAAAAAAAAATGTATATAAGGATATCAACGAAATTAAAACTCAATTGCTAATTTAAAGGGGGAATTGCTGCTGGGAGCTCCAAGTTATACGAAACGAAATGCGGAGTAAATGCGGAGGCCAGTCTCCGAAGATCATCTCCGCAAACGTGGGGCCGGAAAGTGAATTCCACACCGACAACCTTGAAAGACTCCTAAAATATCATATCGATGAAAAAAATGAAGACTATTAACTGGTTAATTCAATTTCCGTCGAGTTTCTTCGATTCCCAACGCAGTTTGCGTTTCGCAATATCCACTGGATCTCCAAATCCATCACCTCTCAACCAAGCAAGAGCTTTACGCAGTCCAGCACCCCGCACGGCCTCAGGATTCCCCTCAAGGATCGACCCCATAAGCGCCCAGGATAGAACAAACAGCAGTAACTCACCGCCCTTTCGGCCCTTCCATAGTCCACGCTTGACCCCGGTCTTGTACGCTGAATCAACAGCGGCCCGGAAGAACCAAAGGAATGTGCTGCGGCTGTTGCCCAGGAACAAAAATGGCAGACCGCCCAATGCTCCACTGAGGAAGAACCGCTTGGTAGGAAGGGTTGTTCGAGGCAAGTTGTTGTTCAGAAGACAGACACTACCCCAGGCTGAGCCAATAGCGGCAGAGAGAACTGCAGTCATGGTGATAATGCGCTTCGAGATGCTGTTCACTGATGACATAGGATGGAGCAGAATGCTCTTAAATTTGGGAATCGAAAGAGCCAAAGTGACGGTCGTGAGGAACCGCGCAAGCGGCGGCACTGAGAGGAGAATATGATGCAAGAATGCCGTGCTACAGTTGGGGAGGTTTGGATGCAAGAGGGCACAGGATAGACTTGAGATTGCAGGGTGTGCTGGTCCAGTAATTGGGGAGATAGAAGCCACTGAAGACGGCAAGGTGTTGGGATCGCCTGGGTGTAGAATTGGAGAAACGAATGCCCTGTGTCAGATTAGCGACCGCTATACACTTTACAGACCCAACTTCAAACATACGGCCAGCGGAGGTCAGCAATAGAGGCAAGAGAGTTCACAATCTCTTCTTTCTCGGGCCAGGCGACGTTGACCGGGAGCGACTCCGGTCGGCCTTGGATATAGCTCGGCGAGAGCTTGAGAATGACATTTCCAAACCACTATGGCATCAAATTAGCGACCGTAGTTCAACCAAAAAGATTCGCGACCACGAACATTGGGCGTAGTCTCGCGATCAAACACAAAGGCATGGAAGAGCTGCGCAAATGAAATGGGCATCAACAGCCAGCTGCCGAACCACCACGGGCGCTTGTCCAGCCAGCCTTTCGAGTCTCAGGACATTAAACAGGAACTCCAAGCTCCTGGTGCCTGTGTAAATTGCCGCAGTCAGTCGAAGCTGGTCCTGCGGGCAGATGCCCAGGGCGAACCCCGCCAGACTTGCGCCGATCGCTGGCGCAAAGCGCGAGGTCAACGCGCGCGAAATGCGCGGGTTGCGCTCTCTGAATGGTTTTGCCTCGTCGGTGCGTAGGTTGGCTCGCAGTCGGATGAGGAAACGGTAGAGGAGGCGATGGATGAGAAGGAGGAGGGATAGGGAAATAGAGAGACGGAATTTGGGAGACCGGAGGAGGGGAGTTCGGGTCTTTTTTCTGTTGGATAGAGCCAGCATTAGTGGATATTCCTAAAAGAGGACTCTCTTCGTAGATTGAATTGATCTTACTGTGGAGCGCCTTGGAACCGAGTAATCAACAGATCCGCCAACTTCAACGCGATTCCGGAGCCAACAAAGACTCGTAGGGATGAACGAATAGCGGCTTCACTGTGTCGATTCTTCGGACGGGCGATTACGTCGTAGCGAGATGGCGATGGGAGCTTGTTTTGGACGGCAGGGGCGCGTTTGATCACTGATTCGTGGAGGAATCGGTATTCTTTCGCGCTGAGACAAACGCGGAGGACATCGCGCAAGGCGGGCGGCGGGATATCCAGCGCATCCCCCACTGGAGGGTTGTCCGCGGACATGTTTGGGTTGTTGTTGATGCCAAATTAGAGCATGAGAGCATGACCAGACGAAAGTCCGGGGATGGGAAGGGAGTAGGCGCGGAGAAGCCCGACCTCGGCAATTCCAATTTCCAACACATGGGGCCACATTTTACTTGTTTACAACATACCGTAACTGCATACCTAGCTATGTAGTTATTTTCTGGATATCAAGTTCCAGGCTTACTCGCTATTGAGTGTCTTGGGGATTTTGGAGGCCTTAATAACCCCGTCGCATTTCGTTTCTCTCGTTTGTCTACCGTGAGAGCGATAGAGTCTACCCGCATACAATATCCTTCCAAAGAGGAGAAGATCGACGAGTTATACAACACTTTGATTCCTACAGATGACCGCTCGTGATATCTCGCTGCTTTGGGACATAAAACGGCAACTACTGTCGAGTTACGACGTCAACAATCCGAACCAGTTCAAGGACCAAGTACTTAAGGAGGTATATACGAGCAGATTAGGCAAAGGCCTCATCCGAGTATAAAATAAAGCTTCTAATCTCTTGACTCGTGTAAAATGTCATATATATATCTAACTAGCACTAACTCAATACTTCGATGCCACCCTGAATTGGGAACCAGCATAGAGGCATTCTTCGCCCTTTCTCAAAAGATCTGCCTCGATATCCATGAGTCTATTATACTTAGCAACTCTCTCGCCCCGACAGGGTGCCCCAGATTTAAGATGACCCGTCCTTAAGCCCACTGCCAAATCTGCAATGAAATCATCGGTCGTCTCCCCGACCGGTGGGACACGAAAACACTCCAGTCAAAACTGTAGGCCAAATTCGCCCTATGAATAATTAGGAGGTACTGTGTAGGATAGGGGAAATACAGGGGGAACCTACGCCTCTAATGCTTCGGAGATGGTACCTATTTGGTTGATTTTGAGCAGCATAGAATTGCACGCTCTCGTGTCGTTGGCCTTCTTCACGTATTTCGTATTCGTGGCCAATAAATCATCTCCGACCAGTTCGGCTGAACATCCTTTGTTAAATTCAGCCCAACTGCCCCAATCCGTTTCGGCAAAGGGATCTTCCAGTAAAACGATAGGATAATTTTGCAGCAATGAGCGATACAGGTCTGTGAGGTGCTTTGGCTTTTGCAAGCTAGGCTTGTCGTCTTTGAATCCGATATCATAGATCCCATCGCTGTAGAATTCGGTCGATGCAGGATCAAGGGCGAATTTTATCCTGCCGGTATAACCAGCAAGAGAGGCGGCTTCGACCAGGAGGTCTAGCGCCTCATGAGGCTGAAAAATAGGTGGTGCGAACCCTCCTTCATCCCCAATACCGATCGCTTGAATGCGATTGTCAGTGATGGCCACATAGGATACTATGAAAGGTACACTAACCAGATGATCCAAACTTCTCAACAATGACCTTCTTTAGCTGCTGGTAAACCTCGCAACCCATTCGTACTGCTTGCGTGAAAGAAGACGCTCCAACGGGAGCGATCATAGTCTCTTGGAAACCCATCTTGTTAGTCGAATGCACACCTCCATTTATGACATTGAAGAACGGCACTGGCATCACAAATGGCTTTTTCGCTCCAGACTCGCGTCGAAGAAACTCGTATAACGGAATTCCCTAAGTATATATCAGTGATCATTTCCCATCATTCCCATCGTTAATCCCAAGTTGACTTACTAAATCTGCGGCACCGGCTCTGGCACATGCCATGCTGACACCCAAAATCGCGTTCGCCCCGAGCTTTGACTTGTTTTCCGTACCGTCTAGATGCTTGAGAAGACAATCTATCATTTTCTGGTCTGTATCGACCTTGAGCCCACTCTGTACTAGAGCAGGACCAATGACTAGTCCGATGTTCGTAACAGCTTTCTGGACTCCCTTGCCGCCATATGCAGGACTATCCCCATCCCGCAGTTCAATGGCTTCCTTCGCACCTGTAGACGCACCAGAAGGAACGATGGCCCGAAAGGTGCCTGCATCAGTGTAAGAAGCGAATCTACTCATCGTTGGTGCTCTGTTTACCTTTGTCCGTAGTGAGGTCAACTTGAACAGTTGGGTGTCCTCGCGAATCCAAGCGCTGAGCACCCTGGATTGACCTGATCATCGTGAATTCAAGATGATATAGCGTAGTAATATGTCAGAGGTTGAGATCATGGTTGTTATTCACTATCTATCATCAACCTAGTGATCTTACTATACCATGAAGAGCAAGGATGACGTAGAGCCCTGGAGTGCCTGCCGGATGACTTAGGAAACTCCTCGGTGACCGGTGATGATGTCAAGCTCAAATCTAGTCTAGATCAACACCTTTCTTAATTGTACATTTCTGGATGAGAGCATGTGCTCGCGAACAAGATCAGCCTATTGCGACCACTCGTCGTGAAATAACTTGATAAGCAGAAAGTGGTTGTAGTCCCTATGCGTTCCTGGCCTGATATCCCAGACTGTATATCGGGAAAGTTTGCCGCGTGGGAATCCATTCCAGTCTTCTGTCTTCCCCCCAGGAGAGGAAAGACATTGAAATAAAATAGTACAAGTGCTATAGAATATCCGTCGACATACATCACAGACATTGTGAGTTAGATAAAACAGATCGAGCCACTATTCCCGTGGCCTATATTGTTTGACAACCTGGATCTTCAGACCTACTAAGTCATCTCGGAATTCTGTCAGGAGTAGCTCGACCATCGCACCCTTATCTCATCGCGCTCAACAAAAAGGAAGTTTCTATCTGTAACCAAGTTCCGGTGTGCTTGAATAGAAGGTGCATGCTTACACGCTCAGGTCAGGGGTAACTAGGCAGATACATACAGAGTATACAACATACGGGACGGAGTATATTTGTGCCTCCTAAGTTGATTTATAATGCACTTTTGTCTCATTTGTGCATGTCTAAATAGGGCACCAATCAAACAAAAGACCGTCTAAATGAAAGAGGGGACTTTTGTTTCAGCGCCACAGTATCTTCGATGGGACTCCATCTCCTTAAGGAGCATTGAGCCAGCCCTACGGGGCAAATCGAGAAACTTCTCAAATTAAATGCTTGGCGTGAAACACAAGCTTGACGGAGCTCCACATGGCTTCCGGCGCATGGGCGTAATATAGTCCTGAAGATATCTATTCCGTGTCCTGATTGGATAATGACCAGTTCGCCCAGACTGAAACCAATTATTCAACCATTCTGTCTCGTTCCGTTTACCCGGAGATATACCGAGAATTAATTATTCCAGCAATAATGGTCGTTTCAACAGGGCTCCAGATTCGGTGGAGGTAAATATTTCGGAGAACTTGCCAAGTCGGGCGTAGCTAACCCTAATGGATTAATTTAATTGAGTAGAGCACTTCACAATTACCGTGCACCCCTGGATCCCATGATGCTCCGAATGATCCGAGTGAGATTAGGGGTTAACATGGCAGATGGCGATGGACCCGTTTCATAAAGATACTAGCGCAGGGGCTAGAAGGAGGATACCGTGCAGGCCAAGCATTTAAATATCAAGGCCAAACCCGATAGAATAGCTTATTCAAACCCATCCATTCTTTCTTTCCTCATTTCCTTTTGCACTCAAATCGGCTAGTCCGGAACATACACTCTTTCTACTCCGTACTTGTCTGTTGATCGGACATTTACTTCAATATGCGTACATCCTTCCTTTCCATGCTGGCCCTTGGCGCCGCCGCTGTGTCGGCTGCCCCAGCTCCTTCTCGTGCTTCCGAGCTGGTTGAGCGCGGATCCTCCACCTGTACCTTTACCTCGGCTGCCAGCGCCAGCGCCAGCAAGAAGGCCTGTTCCACCATTGTGCTGGACAACATCAAGGTCCCTGCCGGCGAGACTCTCGACCTTTCCAAGTTGCAGGACGGCACCAAGGTAGATATTCCCTCATAAAACGGCAAGAACCAAATATCTAATAGCTGCTGTATAGGTCATCTTCCGGGGTGAAACTACCTTCGAATACAAGGAGTGGAAGGGTCCCCTCATCCGCGTTGAAGGCTCAAACATTGAAGTCTCTGGCGAGAAGGGCCATGTCATTAACGGTGATGGAGCCAGATGGTGGGACACCAAGGGAACCAACGGCGGCAAGACCAAGCCCAAGTTCTTCTACGCCCACAAGCTGAAGGACTCTTCCATCACCGGCCTGAATGTCAAGAACACCCCTGTCCAGGCTTTCAGCGTGCAGGCCGACAACCTGGTCCTCGACCACATTACCATCGACAACTCCGACGGTGATACCAAGGGCGGCCACAACACCGATGCCTTCGACGTTGGCGAGAGTACCTACATCACGATCAGCAATGCCAACATCAAGAACCAGGACGACTGCCTGGCTGTTAACTCTGGCGAGGTAAGCAGCCAAAGAATACTTCTACCACAAACAAATCAGCTAACCCGGCTGTCCATTAGAACATCGTGTTCACCGGCGGCTACTGCTCCGGCGGCCACGGTCTCTCCATCGGATCCGTTGGCTTGCGCGACAACAACATCGTGAAGAACGTGACCATCTCCGACTCTACCGTGACCAACTCCGACAACGGCGTCCGCGTCAAGACCATCTACAAGGCCACCGGTGCCGTCTCTGACGTGACCTTCTCCAACATCGAGCTGTCCAACATCGCCAAGTACGGTATCGTCATCGAGCAGGATTATGAGAACGGCAGCCCTACCGGAACTCCCACCACCGGTGTCCCCATTACCGGTCTGACTGTCGAGAAGGTTACCGGCAGTGTCGAGAGCAAGGCTACTCCCGTCTTCATTCTTTGCGGTGACGGTAGCTGCTCTGACTGGACCTGGTCTGGAAACGATATCTCTGGCGGTAAGACTAGCAGCAAGTGCAAGAACGTACCTTCTGTCGCTTCTTGCTAGATTGCTGGGGATCAAATAGTGATCACTAAGCAGCATGGTATCATCAGGCAGAGACTGGGCTATCTTCAAGGCAAATTTGACTGGATGAACTAGGGGATGACGAGGTTAAATATGCTGGTAGTTCATTGTTTTTTTGGACGTAATTGTACTTATATAGCCATCTATAGATGGATTAAATTGAATGGTATTCAACCTACCTAATATTAGCTTGAAACACACCTTTGATTAGCACAACTGACTCGTAGATTCAATTTATATATATCAATTTATATCTACAACCTTGGAATGTTTCTTCACAATTAGAAATCAACGCCAAGCTCAACGTTCGATGACGCAATGAATTCCCTTCCTCAATCACATTAAAACCAACCCTCACCTTCTCTCGTACACACACCAGTCATAATCGTATCCAAAAATGCATGTCCTTCTACTCGGCGGTCACGGCAAAGTTGCCCTCCACCTTACTCCGCTGCTCCTCAACCGGGGCTGGAGCGTAACGAGCGTCATCCGCAACCCCACGCACGAAAGCGAGATTCTAGCTCTGGGCAAAGGCCTTAAGGGCACTCTCAATGTACTACTCTCGAGTTTAGAGGACGTGAAGAGTGCCTCGGACGCTCAAAAAATCATCGACACGGTTACGCCGGACTATGTCGTCTGGTCGGCTGGTATGGCCCCCCTCACTCACCCCGCACCTTAAATTCATTGTACCAACCCAACACACAACTTTGGAATGCGCACATAAGTCATCCGAAAGAAAACGAAGAACCACATAGAGCTCTATAATCCATCCAAAATCCAAATCCACAATTCCCTAAACTAACACACAGACACAGGCGCGGGCGGCAAAGGCGGAGCAGCACGCACAGTCGCAATCGACCAAGAAGCAGCGAAACACTTCATTACAGCATCCTTCGCATCACCAGGCATAAGCAAATTCCTCATGGTATCGTACCTCGGCAGTCGACGCAAGCAGCCAAGCTGGATGCCCGACGACCAATGGGCGGGGATAGTAAAGACGAACACGGAAGTGCTGCCGACGTACGCCCAAGCCAAGCAAGAAGCCGACGAGTACATGACAGCACTTGCTGCGCAGCGGAAGCGGGAGTCTGGACCGACGCGGCCTTTCCAGGCTATTAACCTGCGGCCTGGGCTTCTGACTGACCAGCCTGCGACGAGGAAGGTCGAGCTGGGGATCACGCCTAAGGGTCGGGGGAGTGTTACTCGGGAGGATGTGGCAATTGTGGCGGATATGTTGCTTGGTAGGGCTGATACGGAGGGGTGGATTGATCTTGTTAATGGGGAGGAGGGGGTTGAGGAGGCTGTTGAGAGGGTTGCGAGGGAGAAGGTTGATGCCGTTGTTGGGGAGGATGTTGAGGGTATGGTTAAGAGGTTCTTTCCTTAGAGGGTGATGGTGTTCGGGCCTAAACCAGTAGGTTTATTTACTGAAATAGCTTGGGGTTGGATATAGATACAGGATACTTCCCGGATCTTACACTCGTCATTCATAAAACGAGCATGAATATGAATATCAACATGAACAGGTCTTAAGTGTATATTGCGTGCATATCTAAAAATTCCCATTTACAGCTTGGCTTTAGGTGCCTCGGCCACCCCTTGAACTTCTGCTTCAGAATCCGACGCAGGATCTTCCCACTGGGATTCTTGGGGATCTCATCCACAAACTGGACACCACCACGCAGACGCTTGTGGCTTGCGACCTTGCTATCCAGCCATTTGATAATTCTTGCTGCTTCATCCTTCTCGCTTATTCCGGAAGACTTGCTCTTCGCGCTGCGAACGACACAGGCCATAGGAACCTCGGAACCGTGTGTCTCACTCTCGATACCAATGACAGCAACATCATCAATAGCGTCGTTGTCAACCAGATATCCTTCCAACTCAGCAGGAGGTACCTGGAAGCCCTTATACTTGATAAGTTCCTTGACACGATCGGTAATGTAGAAATTACCCTTGGCGTCCTGGTATCCAACGTCACCAGTCTGGAACCACCCGTCCTCAGACAAGCAGCCCTTGGTAGCCTCTGGGTTCTCGTGATAGCCCAGGAAAACGTTAGGTCCTTTCAGGTACAATTCGCCAACCTCGCCCTCGCCAACCTCCTTAGGCTCGGACCCATCCTCAGGCATAGTCATGTACTTGGCTTGCATATTAGGCATCAAGCGGCCGACGGAACCCATAGCCTCGCGCCAGTCCTCCCACCGTTGGGAGTGTGTAGTTGGGCTAGTCTCGCTGAGTCCGTAGCCCTGCTTAATGCCAACCTTGATGCGAGAGTAGACTGCCTCTACCAGCTCCTGAGTGAGCGGTGCAGCGCCGGAGTTCATCATGCGCAGACTTGACAGGTCATATTTGTCGACCACCGGGTGCTTGCCTAGCAATAGCACCACGGGAGGGACGATATAACTGAACGAGCAGCGATAGTTCTGCACGTGGGCGCACCACTTTTCAATGTCGAATTTGGACATGACAATCAAGTGATAACCCTTGTATAGAGCCTGGGTAATTAAGCAAGTCAATCCTAGAAGCTCTAGTTAGTATATTGTTCATCCGAGTATCTGCGCAATTGAAATCCATACCATAGATATGATAGAACGGCAAAAATGCCAGGACCCGATCACCCTTTCCATCAGGACCACCATTCCAACTCAACATTTCACCCTCGGCAATGAACTGCTGCCTGATATTGGCAACGATATTCCGATGCGATATCATGACACCCTTAGGCACACCCGTGGTCCCAGAAGAATAAACCAAAAACGCCACATCCTTCGCAGGAGTGATCTTCTGCTTACGGTAGCGGGTAGCACCCGAGATATTGCGCACAGAGGTGAAATGCTTGATGCGCGCATCGGGATCACGCTGGTCCCCAATCAGGATAATGCGGTCCTCAGACATGCCGACTTTCTTCGCCGCTTCCCGCGCAACAGGCAGCACCGAGGCTTGCGTTACAAGACCCTTGGCATGGGAGTTCTTGAGCTGGAAGACCAGCTCGTCAACCGTGTAACCCGGGTTCGCAGGCGAGATGATTCCGCCGGCCCAAAGTGTGCCCCACATCACCACGGGTGTATCGATGCTGTTTGGCGTGAAGAGGGCCAGTACATCGCCCTTGCGCCACTCATACAGGGCTTTGAGACCCTTGCCGAAATCTAGCGAGGCATCACGTAGCGATTTGTATGTGTAATGACGTTGGGTATCGGCATCTTGGTAGATAACTGGTGGGGTGTCAGTGCCAAGAAAACTAAGAGAGATACAATGCCGTATTTAATAGCGTAGCATTAGGGGTTCTCAATGGATATCACGCACTCTTGTCATCTGGGTAAGCTCTGTCCTTCCGCTCAAATAGAAAGGTCCAGAGATCCACTTCTGGGATGTCGACCAGGGGGTAGTTAGAGGAGACAGGCATTGCGGGGAAATAAAGCTATGGAGCCGATACTGGGAATGTGATCGAGGCTCAAAAGGACATATGAAAGACGAAAGGAAACACACGAGCAACCGAGTACTTAAAGAGATGGGGCTTTCTCCGCATTCTCGGCTCGCGGCTTGCCTCGGCCCAATACCGCCGAGCACCCAAGCCGATTTCAAACTGCTTGTTCTTGGGCTTTTCGGCATTAAATCGAAAGATCAAAGCTTATACTATTCACTGCATAGTCCGAGTACTTATCTGCTTCGTTGGGGTTCATGCAGGATACCGAATTGACGTTGAGATCGGCACTCGAAGATCTCGGCAATTTAACGGCATATATACGCACTGCCGGATGACAGGCAACATGTAGAAGTAGGAAATATATAGTTATAGAGTCGTTTAAATATAACCTTGAAATGTGGCATATACGGTCTAATGAATTTGAGTAAAACTGGGATGTGGCATCACGATGCTATGCCAACCTGAAACCTCGCAATTTAATACCATCGACCTCCAACCCCTCCAATGTTGGAAGTCGGGTAATTGTATAGTGGCATGAAACGGATTCGACGAAGTGGGTGCAATAGACATAACGATCTGGATGGCCGACTCATTTGGGAAGAGGCCAGGTCTGGGAATATATATCTGTGTAGCATGAGATATATCTTGTCCATGGAAAACGATGGGAAATAGAATACATAAGAAGTACGCTTTCCTGGAGATGTGAAGTCAATTCTGTTAGCTTATATTCAATACCACATTTAAACACAATGGGGTTCAATAAATCGAGTTAATAAATTGAAATAACAGGATCCCCCAGAGTAAAGGGAGCGGGGTCCCATTTGTGGAGCGGTTCGCAGTTATACGAAGTAGAACCTCATGGCCTAGACTCAGGGACCTTGTGACGGGGCTGTCGGGGCTGTCTAGGGTTTTCTAGTGTGCCCTTGAGGTTACTTTACTTACTGGCCTACAATGCGCCTGGGGAATGAAATTTGAAGTGCCGTTAAGATTTAGACTCCTTCCCCGGTGACACAGCAAACCGAGCGAAGGAGTAGCCTTTTTTTACCTCGCCAGATTCGACGAGGGACTAAATCCAGATCCCAAGATGATTTCATGCCGACAAGATCTTAAATTGAGTTGGAAACAGCTGACCCAGACTGGAAATACATGCTGAAAAAAAGAGCCCAGATGAGAGTTTTGCTGAATTCCATTTTTGCTTTCCCAGCACCATTTCCTCCGCACACCACTCCGAGGGGAATCGTTTGAAATCGTTTACTTGAGGGGAATGAAACGGGAAGAGTGGGTGGCACCGATACCGGGACGACCGTGCTTGACGGGCTTGCTGGGAGGTTGTTAGTGCTCTGACGTTAATGGTCATTGGAACAAATCTCAGGAGTACGTACTAAGAGATAGAGAACTCAGCGAGGTAGTGACCAACCATCTCGGGCTTGATCTCAACCTGGTTGAACTCCTTACCGGAGTAGATACCGACGACGGAACCGATCATCTCGGGGACGACGATCATGTCACGGAGGTGGGTCTTGACGAGGTCGGGCTTCTCGTTGGGCTTGGCCTCCTGCTTGGCCTTGCGGAGCTTCTTGATGAGACCCATGGGCTTGCGCTTCAGACCGCGGTTGAAACGTCTGCGGGCACGGGCGTGAACGACATCACGGAGCTGCTCGGAAGAAAGGTCGAGGAGCCTGTAAAAGGATTCAGTCAGACCAATGTCGTTGCAAAATTTGATCCTTGGTGTCCATTCGCAATGCAGCGCCAAAGAGGCGTGAGCAAAAATGCCACATGTGGTGCGTCCACAATAGTTGTTGGCATGGTAGATGACCACCTTCAATCCCATCTCACAAGGCACTGGCTGCGAATGGATGCCCAAGGGTTCGATGATTGGTAATGGAAACGTACTGGTCGAGGTCAATGCCGCGGTAAGAAAACTTGCGGAACTGTCTTCTCTTCTTGATCTCTGTTCGGCGAAAGTTCAGTCAGCGTCTGCGATCCTGTTGTTGTGCGTGTATCCCTGCATCCCAGGTCCATGTCGTTCCCCGCCAATGTGAAACTCTTCAATAATCATCGTATAGTCGATCGTAATGCGGCCCTCTTCTCTCATTCGTTCTTCTGTCCAGGGGCGATGGGTAGGGGTGGGTTTGGTTCTTCATAACGTACCGGCAGCCTCCTCGGCGTTCTATATGAAAACTCCAGGTTAGTGTATCGCACGGGCTTGAAGGGCGAGGGCAAAAAAAAACTCACGTATTCGGTGTCAGCCATTTTTGCAGATATTCCTGTAAGCCGCCTTTCGACCGTATCTCGAAAAGCGAAGGAAGATGGGTTGTCGGAAATTGTCGTGTCGCTGAGCGGTCGGGCTGCTAACACACAGGCTCTAGGAGGTGGGCAGCACTCGTTAAGCGACGGGTAGGTTCCAAGCCCTAGACGCTATACCCATTTGGGCCATTGGTAATCTATTTTGAAACATTGGTTTTTGTTTCGTAATCAAATTCTTTGATTTACCCACCTTTGCTTGGGGAAGTCATCAAATAGCTTGTACCCATCAGTGAAATCTATCTGTATTATGATTACCCATCGCCGTCCCAGGGCTAACATGTCGTATCAGAACCGGAGGTTATTGATAGCCCTTATCTGAGTACATTCAAGTTACCATGACGTGGATTGAATATCTAGTTCTCAGAGAATTTGACTACACGCTATTACTTAAAACGCTGAGCGGGTCCCGGCGATCTTTCGAGAACTACGGAGTACATATACGAAAAGTTGTAGTGAAGGCCAGACGAGTTGTATTGGCTATAAGCTTATTCCAGCTCACATGAAAAGTCGCAACTGTATCAAAACAGTCTCAACAGAACACACTTGAGAAGCCAACCGGCGCAAATCTTGCCCGGACTGACGAACCAACCAAACATCTGTTCCCCAGAACCATGATTTTTAGGCATTGGATTAAACCGCTTAGTCGAAGAGGCCGAATCCCATGTCCTCATCGGACTCCTCCTCGACCTTCTCCTCCTTCTTCTCCTCAGCGGCAGCCTCGGCACCACCGGCAGCGGCAGCGGCAGGGGCGGCGGCAGCACCACCACCGGAGGGAACGGAAGCGAGCTTGGTAGAGCCCTCAGCGATCAGCTATATAAAGAGTCAGCATGCGGTTCAGGTCGGATAGGTGCGCGTGCGAGTATCACTAACCTCCTGGAGGTCCTTGCCCTGGAGCTCAGCGATGACCTTCTCGAGACGGTCACCCTCAGCGTCGATGCCGACGGAGGAGAGGACATCCTTGATGTCGGCGGCGGAGGGGGCCTCGTTGCCGGCAAGGGCGAGGAGCAGGTAAGCGGCGAGATACTTCATTTTGAATGGACTGGAAAAAAATCTTCATTAGTATCACGAATTCAAGATCAGATGCGATCGCACTTCTTAGGCCGCAAAATCGGCTGAGAAGCACAAAAACAATATGTACATACCGTTGATGATTATTATCTGAACAAGAGAAACAATCGATTTAACCGCGAATTGGGCGGAGACTGCAACGTCGAGTTCTGGTGGAAGAGGTTGGTTGACGAAGGATTAACCGAGCGCTCAAAATCTTGAAAAAAGGTGGTGCGAGTGGGTGTGGCTAGTGTCGGCGGGACTTCTAAGCGAGAGCTGTGGCGCAGTGTGTTTGCTCCCACGTGACTCTTTCATATCCGGCATTGATAATTGCATCCTGGCCTATAAACCTGTTTGCCTTCTGTCTCGTCTACGGAGTAATACCTTTCACTTGGATACATATATATATTCCTCTATACATATATATACGTGTCCTTTACTTGTGCTAGTTCTATTGGAATAACAGAAAATCCGGAGCGAGCCAAGCCAGAGATCTAATTCTCATGCTATTGGGTTCGGAGTCATGAAGTTACTTAGTCGTACCAAATATCGACGGTGAGCGACTTCTTCTCTGTACCACTCTTCAATCTAAGGCTTTATATCCTTCGGGATATTTCTACAATCAAAATGAGTGTATGGCTACCTATCTTTCTTTTCACTTCATTTTGACTGACTTAATATAGTTCCTCGATTCCGTTCTCTCGTCTCTTCAGACGGGAAAGCCGTCCCAACTCCCACTGTCTCAGGCGCCTACCTCGCCCGCGCCTGCTTCGGTCCCGAAAAAAGGAGGATCGAAAACCGATCGATGAGCGGCGGGCGCCTCCGACCAGTGGGAATGCTAGTGGAATCAAGCGCAAAGCTGAGGATCAGCTGCCTCGCCCACCGAAATCTGAAAGCAAGGTGACTAATAACTCAGCTTCAATGAAGCCTACGATCGCCTCGAGACCAGCGGTATCATCAGCATCACCGAGAGTGGTGTCCAAGCCAGTCCCGACCACCACCACCTCCAGGCCGACCACGTCTAAGTCCGCACCTAAATCCAGCTTGTCTGCGGCCCCCAAAGCGACACCCTCACGGAAGGAGCCCGCCCCCAAACCCGCATCAGCAGCCGCTGCTACAACCTCGAAGCCGCCACCAAAGGGATCATTTGCAGAGATCATGGCGCAGGCAAAGGCTAAGCAAGAGACGGCACCTGTAGGAGTAGGCTTGCTACGACACCAGGCCGGCCCCAAGGAAAGACTTAGCAAAGTGGAGCGCAAGCGGCGTATGATGGAGCTCCAGGCCAAAGAAAAAGAAGCGCGTTTGGGAAAGAAGCCTGGATCGGGTGTTTCTGCGAAGGGTAAGCCTGCTGTCCGGCAGCGCGACTCTGAGGGGCCCTCATACAAGGGCACGGCCAAACCGACGCAGACTCCCGAGCCTCCTGCTTACCGTGGAACTTTGGGCCTGCCGTCAAATCGTGGTGGAAGTGACCGTCGACAACAGTCTCGGAATCCTCGACAGAACGAATATCTCGGAACTGACGAAGAAGACGAGGGTGACTACGGTGGCTACGACGATTACTACTCCGATGCGTCTTCCGACATGGAGGCTGGAATTGACGATGTGGACCGCGAAGAAGCTGCTGCATTGGAATATGCCAAGCGGGAGGACGAGAAAGAGTTGCGACTAGAAATGGCAGCTAAGAAAGAGAAGTTGGAGCGCCAGCGGAAATTGGCCGCTCTCGCTTCTAAGGGCAAGCGTTGAAGTTTGGACGTCTTTATACTGTCGAATTTCTCATTTTTTACTTTCGACTATTTTGCATGATCTCTTTTGTTTTTGGGTAGGACTACATGTTAACTCCGCATTATGAGCGTTCGGGGTGTCCATAGACGGGGATACCTTCATCTTTTTCTTTTTGTTTTGAAGCACAATAGCGAGCGCTATTTCAATACCAACTTTCTTTTCTTCTTTTGGACTGTCCTTGTATATTGTAGTCAACCTTGAAGAATTTCATATTGAAGTCATCGGCTTGATATCACGGGTAACTCCAAACAAGCCTGGCCCCACTTGACGGGTGACATCACCCACGCTCACCTCCAGGTCCCTCCAGCATAAGTTATCTTCTAAATTTCATCGTTTCACCGTTTCACTGTTTCCACGTATCCAACGATCCATCATGGAGTCCGTTCATCATGTCTCGCTCTCATCGAAGATACTCTTTAGCAAGGTGCGCAAGATTGTACCTCCAATGCTTGAAAAGTTCCACAAAGGTTTGTTCATCGGGTCGATCTCCGTAATCGACGCTATCTACCGTGGATGCAATGAACATCCCCGCTAACTATTAGTCTAGGACAGCTTGGCCGCGTAGCTGTTATTGGAGGTTCCCTTGAGTATGTTCCCTGCTTAATGACACTGGTATCCTACTAACCGGCAAAAGCTACACCGGAGCTCCATACTTTTCAGCCATGGCCTCTGCAAGACTTGGTACGTACCCAAACAGGCCCATGCTCTCCAAAATATATTGACTGTCGAACTGCAGGATGTGATATGGTATGTGCGAAGAATGACATACGTTCTGCAAACGACTAACAATCACCAGAGTCACGTACTCTGCGAACGATCCGCAGCATCAGTAAGCTAGCACCCGGCCTATATTGGACCCACTCTAATCATATCATGCACAGGTTATCAAGAGCTACTCCCCAAATTTGATGGTACATCCATTGCTTCCAAGCATCGACACTGTCAAGGACCCCAATTCAATTGATGTACCATCACTGGCGGGTCCGATTATCGCGATGCTATCTCGCCTCCATGCGCTTGTGATTGGACCTGGTCTCGGCCGCGACGAAGTGACGCTAAAAGTGGTTGCGGAAGTGATCAGAGAGGCGCGATCACGATCGATCCCATTTGTGCTAGACGCAGACGGACTGCTGATTGTGACGCAAGACCCGAGCCTAGTCAAAGGCTACAAGGAATGTATCCTCACGCCAAATGTGGTAGAGTTTGGCCGTCTCAGCCAAAACGATGGGCATCAAGGTCGCCAGCCAAGTGGAGATCGCGCAAGCCGGAAACGATGACATCACCGACAAAGCATCAGATGCCTGTGAGCAGCTGTCTAAAGCCTTTGGCGGCGTGACGATTATTCAAAAGGGTCCTCAAGATGTGATCTCCAACGGAGTTACCAGTATCATCTCTGATAGCGAGGGTGGCTTGAAGCGCAGTGGCGGTCAAGGAGACACACTGACCGGATCATTGGGCACATTCCTAGCTTGGCGAGCAGCTTACCATGAGAAGATGTGGGACTCCGGCGAGCAGGATAACGAGAAGGAGGCACAGAGCATTGAAGAAGTTCAGGCAGAGCTCAGTTCTGAGAACAAGCGCATGTCCCCGGAAACGACTCTGCTACTGGCGGCTTGGGCGTCAAGTAGCATTACACGAGAGTGCTCGCGACGAGCCTTTGCGGACAAGGGCGGAGCATGCAGGCCAGTGATTTGACTGATGAGGTTCACGGGGCGTTCTTGGGGCTGATTGGGGAACCAGAGGGATCTAAGACACACCTCTAGGCTACTGTGTCAAACGCTTCTAGCCATGGATCTATGTGCCAGAAAGACGATGCAGCTTTTCAATACACCAGAACATATCTCCATGTATCTAAGCCTAGCTGCACTTAAAGCCACGCCAATGAAACATGTCAACATGTCTCGTCCACTTTTACGATGGTCCACACAAGCGGTCTACAGTTACCAAAAGGAAGAGTCTCGAACCCTGCATCTCACGCAAAAAAGTTCCGCTCCGATATTGTAATATCAACTGCACTGACTCTGGACGTGCTTATATGGTAGCCTAGGGCACTTTTTGTTGCATTTCATCTGAGATAAAGAAACAGCTCATAGTATCCATGGGTGTGAATCGCGGCCTACAACTCACTGATCCGCATGGTCTAACCTCGTCTTTCGGTGCTTACGCTTGAGACTCAGGCCTCAGACCGGTCCCGATTGTCGATATTAGGTGAAAATATAACATTACCGGCCAATAGAGGTCGTCTGACAACGCAATATGATTATCAGACTCGGAGTATTGTTTTTGAGCGGCAATGCAAAAAGTGTGTCCTGAATGCGCACCTTAGACCCTTACCCTTGATGGCCCGCAGAGTAAATAGAAACCAAAAACAAAGTGCCACAGCCCTGCCTCAGTCTCGAGTAACCAGTGCCCAAACTTTCGCTGTCTCGCTTGTTTTCGCCTGCTCTTCGTCATGTTCCAGAACCATGCTGAAGTCATTTGCAGAATCATGACCAGATCAAAGATTACCCAGCTCGTATCCATAAAGCTTCAAGCAGTGTGAGACATCTGCCTTGGCAAGTCGAAATCCCCGCATCTCTATACGGCTATTCACATCGAGATCTGAATGTGGCTAGAGGCATGGCTCTGAGACATGCACCACCCCGCCTTCCGCTGAATCGGTATTTTAAGACCTAAACAGCCTTAGGTGTGCTGCTCAAAGGCAATGTTGAGCTAACAAGCCATCGACATCATGTTGAAAACAAGGATTGGTGGTGCTTTGAGGTATTGTTCCAGACCTCGTATTCACAGCCCAACCCCGGATGTTCTCCCACTGGTGCCGGATATGGGTATCGCCTCCTTCACCGACCACTGGGAACCTCAGACCAGATTGAAAATGACCTCGTGATGCAATGCAGGGAACTAAGGCGAAGAACATCTTCCACAACAAAGGTGTACCGAGCCTAAGAATTGACATAAGCATATATACCCTTGGAGACGGGTATATAAGATGGCAAATCTCCCAGCAGAAGATAATGCCATCAGACACCAATCCCCAGACACAAGCCAACAGACCGATCTACTCCAAGTCTATACTCAAACCCAACCATCCACCAAGATGCATTTCTCCATCATCACCTTGATCGTCGCCACCGCCTCCCTGGTGGTCGCTAACCCAGCACCATCGTCCCAGTGCGGCACCTGCAATCCCATCTCAGGCAAGAACGGGTGTGATCCCTCAACTTCGTGCATCAACACGGGAACATCCTTCCACTGCGCCTGTCGTGCTGGCTTTAAGGCATCTCAGTACGACAACGACGTGTACAATCAGTTCCGCCTGCCGATGCCGAACTATGAGTTCCTTGTTTTCGTTCCTGAGCACACGACTTGCAACACCCCGTGTAATGATCCGTATGCTGCTCCTTCCGATCTTTGCAAGGAGGTCAAGCTTCAGCACCGGTGCGCGGCTTAGAATTTCAGTCCGGGGAGGAGTGGGTTTGCTGGTAGCAGGGGGAAGAGAGGGGAGATTCCAGACAAGGTATGGATGGGGGTAGTGCAATGTCCAAAGGACTGAGTTGGATCCATAGTGCGAGATATTCTGACGGATTGCATGTGTACATGATGTGTCACTCCTTAATCGAAATTGCTTCAGTGGAAAATGAGGATGTAAATGTAGATTAAACAAGTAGATTGGGAAGATCTTCTTAATTGACCCTACGAAATCATAAAAACCGACTCCATTCCCCCAAGAATACACCCAAACACCCGTCGCCGTAATTTCAGCCAGTTTCAGATGCATCTTCAACACGTACAAAAAGCCCGATTGACATTTAAGAAGAGAAAAACATAACGGGAGACTTTCACAATTACATGTCCATGTCGCCGTCAACTTCAGTGAAGAGTAGACGTGTGCCATTGCCAGTGACTTGCCAGAGCTATAGATAATGTTGTTAGTAAGAAAGTACAGTGACCTTCTGGGGTTATTAAAACTTACGTTCATCTCAGCATATTCATCGATAGTCATGGTGAGGTTATCCTCGGTGAAGCCTCGGGCCAGCACACGCTCACGAATACGTCTCATGCTCATCTCGCCTTCTTCACCATCTCCGACAGCAGCGGCACCGCTCTCCTTCATGCTGCGGATCAAATTGTAGATCTTGCTGGATGGGGTGTTGTCGGCACCCTGCTCGCCATCATTGTACAGAGAAGCCTTACTGATCTCAATGAGACGCAGAGCCTCATCGACATCCTCGCGAATAACCTCCTCGGCGAAGCGAAGACGAGCAAGTGCCTGCGAAAGACGAACGATGCCGAGCAGGGTACGGGGAGAAACATGAGAGAACTGCCTTTTCTTGGACTCATCGATCTTTTGTCTCTTGCGCATGGCCACATAAGCACCAACCATGTAATCAGAAACGCTGGTAGGCACAATAGGACGGTATGTGCGTGCCTTGGCAACATATTGACGGACCTCGTGGGGAGTGAACATGACCCCGGCTTCTTCATTCTCCGGGTGCTTGTTGTGCATGTGGACGTAGGTGACGTGGTGGGCCAGCTCCTCGTCGCCCTCGCGGGATGGGGTATCTAGAAGCAAGAACATGACATCGAAACGAGAGAGCAAAGCGGCGGGCAGGTTAATGTTCTCCACGGGTGACACCCGAGGGTTGTAGCGACCATATAGCGGGTTGGCCGCTGCCAGGATGGAAGTACGGGCGTTGAGGGTAGTTGTGATACCGGCCTTGGAGATGGAAATAGTCTGCTGTTCCATCACTTCGTGAATAGCTGTTCGGTCCGCGTCCTCCATCTTGTCGAACTCATCAATACAACAGATACCGTTATCTGCAAGAACAAGGGCACCTCCCTCCAGCACCATCTCGTCTGTGACGGGATCTCTCATGACTGCGGCGGTGAGACCGACACCACTGCTTCCTCGTCCGGTGGTGTACACACCACGAGGAGCAACCTTGGTAATGTATCGAAGCAGCTGCGACTTCGCCACACCAGGGTCTCCCATCAAGCAGATGTTGATGTCTCCACGGATGTGCATGCCATCACCCATCTCTTTCGTGACACCGCCAATCAGAAGCAATAGCAATGCCTTCTTGACATCAAGGTGTCCGTAGATTTCGGGTGCGATTGACCGTGAAAGGTACTCATACATATTGCCGGAACGCTGGTGCTGCTCGATCTTGCGGAGAGTACGGCTATCCATACCCATGTCATTGTAGGACTTCTTGTGCTGGGTGATGTGCTGGGCCTCCAAGTATGTGTCAGTCAGCAGGCCAGCGCGAATAGCCCGGAAACCAGTGTAGGGGGTGGGCAAAAAAATGCCTGCCACGTCAATAACGTCGCCAGGGTTCAGTTGGCGAGTGAGAGCGCCGTGGCAGTGAATAGTCAAAGTGCGAGGAATATGGCCCACGGGGACCTGGTCGGCCATTTCCTGGATCTTGACCTCCTGGAAAGGAACAAACTTTGATGCACGAGTTGACAGGAAGAGCTGACCCTTCGAGTTGTTCTTCTTGCATTCCTCTGACAAACACTCGCTCAAGGGGAGAAATTGCTTGGTGGTGATGGGCTGGAACACTTCGCAACCACAGCGATCGCAAGTATAGGCGTTGATCTGTACAGCCGGCTTGACATCGGAGACACGGGTGGTGATACCGCGGACTGTAATCAAGGTGCCCAGGTGCTCACCGCGCACATGACGGACGGCGAGGGCTTTGGAGTCGCGCTCGGCGCTAGACCCCGAAGGTGTGAGGGGCTTGAAGTTGAGGGTATATCTACGCGTGAGCTCCGGGGGAACATGGATGGGGCAGTCGCAGCAGCTTCCATGTCGGCCTCCATTGCGGTTTCCATAGTCTCATTTCGCTTCTCACGCTGGGACATGATCACATCAAGCACGTCATCTTTGAATCTGCACAACAATTAGTTCAGCTGCTGCAGCAGTCGCATAGAGATAGATTTGACGTACGTGATATCCTTTGTCTCCCTAGGCATAACCTCATCGACCGCCTGAGAGATAACATCGATATAGCGCTTTGTGTTCTTTTCGATAGATTCGACGAGCTTTAGGTCTTCTCCCTCGGGCATGGACTTCTCGAACTATTACCACCATTGTGAGCTAGAATTTAGCGAGAGGAGTTCATATTGGATACTTACAACTGACAGGTCATCCAACTCAATCAAGATATTAGATTTATCCCGGTTTGCGATATCCTGCAGAATTTGCATGTACTTGAGCTTTGGCTCCCGGTGCCTCCTTGCTCCTCGGGCGTTTGCCCCGTTAGTCTCATCGACATCATCCATGAAATCATATTCATCACTAGTCTGGCCGTCGTCGATGTTCAGATCCTCCAACGCCTCGGTCGCAGCGGCTTCCGAGGACGATTGGAAGGTCTTGAACCCCTTCAAGAAATCCTTGAAGCCATTCAATTGCGCGGAATAATCCACAGGCGGGGGATATTGAAGGAGAGACATAATAACAAAGTGCGCTCAATTGACAGCGCAAAGAATCAATAGTGGGATCGGGAGAGAAATAGAGAAGAGGGTCCGGTGACTATCCGAGCCCCTACCAAATTCGCTGGTAAAACGCGAACGCGAGGTTGGGACGCGCTCAAAAAATGGGACTAACCATATTAGGAAAGGTATCAATTATGACGGAGTATTAGTTAATCCGCTATCGAGGTAGGTCGTCACATGACTCGTCATCGGGCCGAGGCGAAAGAGAGAGATAGTGTGGAGTCCGGGGTCGTGTCTCTCCGAGTTCACGTTCCCCCTCCTCCTTGTCTCTGTGTTCACGATCGTTTTGAGCTTCAAAATGGCGCCCAAGAAGCCTGCTGCGACGGCCGAAGTTGCCCTCACGCCGCTCAAGAACTGTCTCGTTAATCTACCGGCGTCGCTGGTCGCTCTGCTGGTCAATGCAAACACGGTCAGTCTACTAGTTGTTCCGTTCCCGAGGGTTATTTCCGGCTAACGTCTAGCTATATCAGACCGCTCAGAATGTTATTATTGAATTACAATATAAATCGACCTCCGGAAAGGCCAATGGAGCTCCTCCGCAGCAATCATGCTTCCTCGGTTGGACGGGTATGCCGAGCAAGCGCAGGCTTGCGCCTGTCGTTGGGAGAGACGGTATCAACAGTGGATATCCTAGGGAACAGGAGATGTCCACGGTCGAGCTTGACACTACTTTCGGGCGGCTGCTTGGGCTCACTGAAGGCCAGAAGGTATACAATATTCCCCGTGCGTCATTACCCACGTGGGGCGCTAACACTTGCAGGTCGGATTGTTCGTCCACCTCGATCCACCCGTTGCACATACGATAAACATTGAGCCATTGACACCAGAAGACTGGGAGAGTATGTTAACACCACAGGCAGCTATAATTGAAATGACACTAACTCGACATGACAGTCATTGAACTCCACGCCACATTCCTGGAACTTAACCTTCTGTCACAAATTCGCGCTCTACCCAATCCTACATACAATGCAGCGCAATCGGTGCATATGCACCCTCTCGCATTGCATCTCTCTCCCACATCTACCGCCAATATTGTCGTCACTTCTCTTACACCCGCTCCCTCAGACACCTCCCCGTTCGCCAAAATCGCGCCGGATGCAGAAGTTATAGTGGCCCCCAAAGTTCGATCCAAGACGAGCAAGAGCTCTCGGGGTGACAGCCGCAGTGCTACTGGTAGCAGGAAGAGTGCTGGTGGCAGGAGTGCTTCAAGCACTGTGCGCCCGAAGAGTGGCCGGTCCGACTCCAGCACACGAGGCTCCCTCTACTTGAGAGGTGTGGACCGCTCAGCGACCACCCAATATTTTGATGGGGAAGTAGAAGATGATGCAAATGAGGGCCTCCGTATTTGGGTTGATCCGGACCTGCTGGCTAGCCATGAGCTGCGCGGAGCGACTTGGGCATGCGTGTCGGTTGTCCAACCATCCGGTCTCAAACCCCCCACCAGATCCCCAACAGCAACTTGCACAGGCTGAGCAGCAAAAGTCCAATGATTCCGGTGCACCTACAACCAAGCTCGTGGCCAAATTGCTTCCATGGGAGGAGGCTCCGGACAATCGGCATGCGGCGATTTCCACCTTGTTGAGCACGGCCCTTGGCGCGGAGAACATGGTTGGAGGAATTCTCCGAGTCGAAGCAGCATCCCCACCGCTGCATCGGTCGGCTGTCAAGACCCTCAAAATCTATCCTTTCATAAGCGATGCTTCGAAGAAGAAGGACGGACTGAAGTTTGGTGCTGACACTACGGCATCTCGGGATGCCCTAGCCGAGCGCCTCAAAGTCATCTACGGCAGCACTGGTTCCGACACAGGCCTTTTCTCAGGGCCTTTGACTGATGGAATGGTTATACCCAAATCCGAGTATCATCCTTCTGTCTCTTCGTTCGATGGTGCTATTCTTCGCTTTGACCCCCCTCTGAAGGGGTCTCCGGATGAAACAAAGTCAATGTTCGGGTGGTTACTAGGCTCAGAAGCCAAGCTAAATCTCGAAGTGCAAGCTGAAATTCCCAAGCCATTTGACCCTAGTTCGTCGGCGCTACCTATGGAGGACCCTCTTCCAGAAACTGCTCCTCAATTGGTAGGGATTGATTCCATCATTGAACAGTCATTGAACAACCTAACAAAATCCTCGTCTATCTTGCTTACCGGTGGTCTTGGTGCTGGTAAAACAGCTCTTACTCATTTACTGGCTCACCGGTTAAGACGAGATCATCTCTTCAATGTCAAGTACTTCTCCTGTCGCAAGCTCGTCACAGATGAAACACGTATTTCCAACATCAAAGAGACCCTGAACCGCCTTTTCATGTCCGCATCATGGTGTGCGCGCCTTGGTGGCCAGTCAGTTGTGATCCTCGAGGATCTAGACAAGCTTTGCCCGGCGGAGACTGAATTGCAAGTGGGTGGAGACAATGGTCGCAGTCGCCAGAACAGCGAGGTTATCTGCTCTATGGTCCGGGAATATTGCGCGCTGAATTCCTCCGTTGTGCTACTGGCCACTGCCCAGGCCAAAGAGTCACTCAATAATGTTATCATCGGCGGCCACGTCGTCCGTGAGATCATCAATATGAGAGCCCCTGACAAGGAAGGACGCCGAAGGGTTTTGGAAAAACTGACTAGCGAAGATAAACCCACTGAAAGCTCAAATGGGCATGTGAGGGCCACAAGCTCCTCAACACAAGACTCATGGCTGGACCCTTCAAATCCAGGGAGCAGACCAAGCTCTTCTGGGGGGGATGGGTTTGTTATTGGAAGGGATGTTGAGTACCTAGAGCTAGCCGGCAAAACCGATGGGTATATGCCTGGTGATCTTGTGCTACTCGTGGCTCGTGCGCGCAATGAGGCCCTCATTCGCTCTGTCTCAGATCTCACAGCAACATCAAAGATGATCACTCTCGGGCTACAGGACTTTGAAAGTGCCTTGAAGGACTTTACTCCGGCATCTCTTCGCAACGTTACTCTTACCTCGTCAACAACCACATTTTCCTCTGTTGGTGGTTTGTTCGAAACTCGCAAGATGCTTTTGGAAACTTTGCAGTATCCTACAAAGTATGCCCCAATCTTCGCACAGTGCCCATTGCGACTGCGGTCTGGTTTACTTCTCTATGGATTCCCTGGATGCGGTAAGACAATGTTAGCCAGCGCAGTGGCTGGCGAGTGTGGTTTGAACTTCATCAGTGTAAAGGGTCCCGAGATCTTGAACAAATACATTGGAGCTAGTGAAAAGAGTGTTCGCGATTTGTTCGAGAGAGCCCAGGCCGCTCGCCCTTGCGTCCTCTTCTTCGATGAGTTTGACAGTATCGCACCCAAGCGTGGCCATGACTCCACCGGTGTCACGGACCGTGTCGTGAACCAGCTGTTGACACAGATGGACGGCGCAGAAGGCCTCTCGGGCGTTTATGTGCTGGCAGCAACGTCACGCCCCGACTTAATCGATCCTGCCCTCCTTCGTCCTGGCCGTCTCGACAAGTCCTTGCTTTGTGACATGCCCAACCATGCAGACCGTATTGATATCATCCGCTCAGTGGCCGAAAAGCTTAAGATGAGTGACGAGGTCACGTCTCGCCTAGGTGATATTGCCACTCAGACCGAAGGATTCTCTGGCGCAGATCTGCAGGCTGTCGTGTACAACGCCCATCTCGAGGCAGTCCACGACGCGCTGGGTGACCGTTCTACCGATACAGCCAAGCCCAATGCCAAGTCCAAGTCCGCCAATGCTTCTAGCAAATCCTTCATCCAGTTCCTCTACTCCTCTTCGGAGGAAGCATCCGGGTCTGTCTCCATGCCTCCACCGGCAGTGGTCTCAGCCAAACTGGAGGCAATCAAGAACTCGCGTCGACGCCAGCGCCAGGTTGAGCAGGGACCTTCTGGCGCGAACCATGCCACGGCCCCGGTGGCTAATGGCACTCAGCCTGATACAGACGAGCTACGTGAGGATATCATCGTCCGTTGGGAGCATGTTGAGCGCTCGTTGGCTACCACGCGTGGTTCTCTTCCCCCCGCAGAGCGTAGACGTCTCCAGGGAATTTACCGTGAGTTTATCGCCGGCCGAAATGGCGAGATGCCTAATGGTGAGGCTGCCAATGAGATTGGAGGCCGAACAAGTCTGATGTGACATATTCTATGACTTGGGCTTTGTACACTGTATATATGAACATCCTGGTATTCCTGATTATTTTCCTTTCTATTCCTGTATTTATCAATAGTGGTAAATGGACATGATATTATACATTTTGAATGTTGCATGGGATATTAGACGAGAAACAGACCAAGCTCATCTAGCACCTTGGAATTTCCCCGAGGACTTCCATCACACTCCAATGAATCAGGACTTTCCATTCCGGAGCTAGTGTTTGCCATATCAGCTTTACAAAATTGGTGCCCCATCCTCTAAAGTACCAAACCCCCCTTAAGCGGTGCAGAACAACACAGAAGAAACTCAGAATGACCATTGCCATCGGTTCTCGCTTCCGCAGACACTCGAGGAAAGTCCGAGGTAATTTTATTGCCCAGCGACTGACCAAATTTGAAGGAATATGATCTTGGATGGACTCATTCAGCGCCTCCCCCAGGGTATCTATTGCTTCCTGGTACATTTCAGAGGTATGACCTGCGGATTTTGCGGTAATATTTGCACCATAAAGTTGGTGTAGGGCGAATTGGCAGTCATCCGACAATAGCCAAGGATATTCCACCTGCGTGAAATACAGAATGGAACTGAAATTGCTGTCATGTATTGCAGGTCGAGAGCTTGCTATGACTTGCTCGACGCCACGACACAGCATCAGCACCTGATAAAGATCTTCCATGCTCATGGGAGGGCCGGTATTCTCGAGATGCAGAAATCCAAACGCATAAACCACCAGAATGCTCGAGAAGGCGAATATGGCCTTGGCATTGTCATGGTTAATTTGACTCATGAGTACCTGAAACTCCCCAAGTGCGACATTCTGATGTATTACCGCCGCTTTGGTATATTGTGGTCGCGAAACGTCGTCTCCGTGGCTGGCCAGCTCAAGTGCTGATATTGCCAGCAGCCCATGCATAAGGAATTTGTGAGATAGTGCCTCTTCTGGGACTAAGAACTGCCAGATCTTTTGGGTTGTCTCGTCTCGAGTAAAGGACAGGTGTGTTTGCTTCGACCAGTGCATCATTAACTCAAGGGCGCTCAGATTGAGATCTTCTGGAACTGGAGGTTCGTCCTCGCTTGATCTTTCTTGAGGCGCAGTCGGGAATATCAACTTCAATTGCCCAAAATCAGGAGTTTGTATCTGGGGGGATTCTTGGCTCAGCCACATATACGAGTCGGATGAGCCATAACTGCAATCGGATGCTCTCCTGCGGCAATTCGTGCACGACGGCCTTAATTCGTCACACTTTGGGGCTTTTTTAGTACTGTACTAGTACAAGAATAAGGGGAAAAGCGTTACCTTAACCCGTCGTCGTTTACAATCCTTACAGCCGTGCCTAGATTTTCGATGAGATTTGCGCATGACGAGCTTTGAAGGGAATACTATATTCTGCTCCAGTAAACCACTGATAGAGCATAGAATATTAGGGGTTTCCCTTTTTTTTTCAAGAAATTGGAAAATAATACGAGGGGAAACGAGGGTCTCTAAATATCTCATCTCGTATACTCGTATTTATTTCCTATTCCCATCTCAAGTGACTCTCGGGAAGGTGTCGATCTATAAAAATATAAAAATGTGGATCTATTCCCGAATTAGGAAAGGTTTACGAGGTAAACGAGGTAAACGAGGTAGTTCACTACAACATAGATTGTACTACTTCAGGGCTGAGAATCAACCTTGGAAGAACTTATAAATACCTCTCTACCTCGACTCTTCTTCTCACTCAACTATCCTTTTCCAGTATAACACCATGCGTCCAACTCTTCGTCTTTCCTTTCTGGCCGTCTTAGCCACATGCGCCTCAGCATTCGCTAGGCCCACTGTCTTTGCGCGTAACAGCCTGACAGAAGCTGTCAATACTTTGGAATGCCGATGTGGCAGTGCAGAGTTTCTCACACTGCCTCACGCCAATATCACTGCTCGGGAAAAGGCTAGGCAATGCTCAAGCTACAGTACGCACCCTTTCTCCAAACACGTCTTTAATTTCGATATAATACTCACCTGGTACTGGCAGAGTTGATTGACGCCCGTGGAACCACTGAACCGCAGGGCGTCTCTACAATGTTCTACCCCATGATCGAGAACATCCTTGCCAATATCAGTGGTGGTGTGAGTCTACCTGTGGAGTATCCAGCGGGTACTGCCCAGAACACGACTACTGGCGAGAATTTCGTATTGGATATTATTAGAGAAGGCCTTTATCAATGCCCTGGTCAGAAGTATGCTCTCTTTGGCTACTCCCAAGGCGCTACCTTGATGCTCAGAGTCCTCAACCGACTTGATCATCGTGCTCTAAGCTTGGTCAAATCAGTCATCCTCGTCGGTAACCCGTATCGCACGCCTGGAAGGTTGTCTAGTGTCAATGAAAAAGGTCAAAGAGATTATAGTGACTCTGTTGGCATATTCACATCTTCCGCTCTTGCTGAAAACAAATCCGCTGCCGTTCCGCAACTTTCGGTTGATATCGACCGTAGTGGCAAGGTTTTGGATTATTGTCTTGCTGTGAGTTATTCGATTCCTTATTTGCCTAAGTCTTTGGACTAACTTCGTTTCAAAAGGGAGATGGTGTATGCTCCTACAACTCCGCATGTCCTTGTCAAACTCCCGCTGGTCATCTCTCCTATGGACTAGTCGACACTGTGCAAACGACTGCCTTTGAACATGTTGTTTCTCGAATCAAGGGTGGTTTTAAATAACGCTGAAGATATGTAAACCACTCCAGCTTTCCCGCAGATATCTATTGTGTTGCCATGTCCACAGGCAATGCAAGCCCCCCATGTCTCACGTCCGGCTCTCTTTCTTTCCTCTTTCCTATATCAAATACAGGTCTGCTCAAAACCAGCTTTGCCACTGCCAGATCCACTTCAATTTATATATGTGACATAGCCTAGATATGACCGTCGAATAGACAAAGCACCATCAGCAAGAGTCTGCTTTCCAGCAAGTATATTAGGCCTAGTATCCCGCAAAGCAGCTTTCAATGGATCAATGACCTTTCCTTCTATATACTCCATCACAATATAGCCCCAGCCTTGGTCGTCGGTAAAGAAATCATACACACGTGGAATACGAGCTATGCGGCTGTCCACAAGTTCATACGCTATCCTTTGATTTTCAAATTCTTCTTTGGTTACACATATGCCCCGTTTGACGACTTGGTGATCGGAAATTTTGATAACTCGTTTGCCGTATTGGCTAACAACATTGCCAGGCAACGGATCTGCACAAGAAGCGATAACCGAGGCTCGCAGGTCTTCAGTAAGGGCCATGCTTCTGCAATGGAATCCTGGTTGATAAATATATTGAATATAGGCAAGTTCGGGTCGAACAGAAAGAAATATGAAAATAGATCTGGGGACCTATGGCGGTGTAAGAAAAGGGGGAAATATATTAAATAGCCCTGGAGGTACCGCTTTGGATGACATAACAATATCGATGCACTTGAGTAAGTTTGGACGTACAACTACTTACCTACGTACAACTACGTGTCTAACTAAAGGAAGAGAAAGTGATCAACAGAACTGAATGATAACAGGTACGAAGGATCAAAGGCCTAAAGCGGCAAGAAGAGATTTGGCAAAACTGCCTTAGACGAAGGCTTCAACGCAATAGATACGGACTTGGTTTGGGCTAAAGGAACTAACTACATATGTAGTCAATAATGGACCAGTCAACCGATCAATATGATCTCAGTTCTCAAGATTTCGAGGGACCGTGCCGTATACACCTCCGTTGCTGCCTAACCAGTCAAAATAGTGTTTGCTTTACAACATAGCCCCTCGATCCGTTCGATCCGTTGGCGATTGCAGGGTTCGTGGGATGTACGCTAGCGACAACTAGACCGAACTCACGTTGCTTCGAAGGAGCCCTGGAGTCAATGCGTCGCTCTGGTGGAGCGAGGATGTAGCTTTGAGTCCATATTTCGAACGGCAGTGAACTAGGCTGATGAGAGGGTGAGAACACTGACAATGTCGACCACGTTATAGGAGCGAGGAGTGACATTCAGTTGGCTAGAGTTCTGCGGAGAGTGACTTCACATCATATATTATCTGATATATAACCACCTCACGGAGGCGTTGATACGATGGGTGTTACGAGCCAGCTCTACAAGCAAAGGAGCAAGAGAGTACTCTATTCAAAATACTAAAGACGCGGAGAGAAAGAGAAGGAAGACCTGGCGAGCTCTGGAGAGAGCTCATCAAACCAAGACCAATACAAATAATGTAAACCCCCCGGCCGACCTTCTCGCTTAGCGAGGCAAACAAAGAAAGCAAACTAATCTATGACATGTGGTCAATCTGGCATGTGACATCAGATCGTGACAATGGGTATATTCTTCGGATCGAGTTCGAATGCTTTTCCTTTTGCTGGATAAGGGTATTGACGCCGCCAAGGCAATGTGTTGTTGTTGTTGCGCGAGGTATGGTATTGATACTGACGGGCAGCTGTGCGCTGAGGGGACTGTTCGGCCCAGACGCGATACCGCTTTTCCAGGTTAGCAAACCAGTCGTTCAGGACGGTGGACGGTGTCGGGTCCGGAATGTCGTGGCCGAACGAAGGCTCTAGGTGGGAGTATGCGGGTGGTTTCGGGCCATCCAGGATAGCTGGAATTAGCCCCGGGTGGTATCAGCGACCACGATTGTGATCCAGACCAGATCATTCATCCTGACGGTGCTCGACCGGACCTTCCCCTCTTGTCTTCGGGGTTTGGCATAGTGCCCAAAATGTCACATTGTCGCAGCATCTCCAGAGCATCGCCCAAGCCAGGAAAATGGTTTCTTTATTGATGCCACTTTTGGAGTTTCCCAACGACCCCCTCCGCATCAAGGGTCCCATGGACCGTAGTGTAATTTCCAACCTTCCTTTCATTTTGCCTTTTCCGCCAGGTTGCCGGTTCAGAGAGGCGAGACGATAAAGAAGGCGCGATGACTCTCTCGCTATTTAAATATAGAGGCAATCGATTACTTCCACCGCCTAAAAAAGCAGTCCCCGGTCGAGTTCACAGCGTCGGATTCTATCCTCTTGATGACTTTCTCCATCGGCTCCGTCTTCGGGAGACACTGCTCAGAGGTGGCTTTGTTGTTTCGGCAGGACGTGTATCCCCTCCCCCGCGGAATGTGTGCTTGGTGTGTTTGGCACTACTAGCACTGACGAGCCACAGGGGTGTCTCTACCAGACCACGCTCGACAACTGAAACGTCTTCGCAACTATCCAGAGAAGGGTGCACTGACCGAACAATTGTCTCTTCGTCAGGCTCAAAATCTCCCCATATCAACGCCTTTCAGGGTACCAATGCTTGCTACCTGCTTCCCGCATATATGCTTTGATATTGGTCATGAAGGAAGGAAACTTTGGCCCGAAGACCTGTTTTGTCGATGTGGGGTTTCAGTTTGACTTGGTGGACGGACTATTGGGAAGGTGACGAGCAAGTGTTTGAGATGCGGCGACGAGAGTGGGCACTACGGCTTCGACATCCTTCCAGTCGTCTAGCAGTTCGTTGTTGGGTACCTTCTCTGTAGAAGGGACCACACCGCGCGATCGCAGTTCGGGTATATATGCTGGGTCGCTGTGCTTTGCCGTATATGTTCGCCTTGGGGAAGGCATCGACATTGATGGACTCAACTGGATCAACAAGTTAGTCACTGGTCAGAAAGTGAGGGGAGAGCGGGGAATACTTACCAGTCGCATTATCAATGTCGGACGAAGCTTCCTCCGGGAACATTGTTAAGCCCCAGAGCTCATTTATTGCGGTTATGTCTTCCCAAGGAGCTCTGCCGTCCACTTCAGGGGAAGCGCATGGCAGAGTTTTGAGTTCTCCCGCACAGGTCTGAGGCAGCTCTTATGGCTGTAGGTTTTCCGACCAGAATCTGCTCTCAGAAAACGAGTCCTCAAAAACTCGCTGAACATAGGTCGCTCATTGCATAATCCCTGATCTCAACGCCATAGTTGATGTCTTTCCCGCTTCTAGGTCGATGCGATAGAGAACGATCAATGAAAAGTGCGACGCATTCGGTGACTTTAGATGGTCGTTGTGGCACTGGGGGTCTCCACGGTCATGTACAAAGGTGGGGTGCGTAAAAGGCGGGTAGTGCATGAGCACTAGCTCAGGTGAAGGCTGGCAATACCGGAAGATTATATAGTAAAGTATCGAGGCGACATCTGTCTTTCACAATCAGAGCCTGAAAAACAGACAGGAGGGACGAGACTTACCATCCGGCGTGCAGCTCTCAATGAAGACCAGACCTGAGCGTGAAGGACAGGACTAGTGAAGCGAGGGTATCCCTCCTTTTGTGGTGGCAACAGAAAGAATGGGATTATGAGGTGACTGTTGCAACAGCATTCTTTACCGAAGCGTCTTCGGGACTGGCCACCAGGGAAGGGGTGGAGTTTTTTGAGAGGTTGCTGTGACCTGAAACCCCTTAAGAGTATACATGATATACATGACGTGACGACGAGGTCGAGCCCTTCCCGCGCGCATCGCACGCATCGCATCGACATCCCCATGGAAGGAAGACTGTTGCCTCATGTACATCTCCGACAACCGAGACTTGGAGATAACACCTAACCAACTCAAACTATTCATCGATGAATTAGCATTTGGAATCGAGCTATAGGTGGAAGAGATGAACTCACCACTTGACGAGCTCGTACCCGGGGGTCATATCCGGGGAGCAGAACTTATAGAAACGACACCTGTATGTCATATTGTTAGCAAACAGAGCTGAAGACGAAATCAGAGCAATAAGTCTCACCGATGGGCAGCCAACCCCTCGAGAACCAACCCCCACACTACAGAAACCCCACTACCATCTTCACCAAAAGCACCAGCAGAAAGCTCCCCCAAAACATAGTCCGGGTTTGCTCATTGGGTAGCTGCTGAGCTCCGGCTCCGGCAAAGGCAACAGCACAAGCGGCACCCAGGGACCCTATCAGAATCAAAAGGCAGCTGAGTCCAATCCAAATGAAGTAAAACAAATTTCGTCTCAGATGGAACATGTGAAATAAGAAAGAAACGAGAAGAAAGTAAGAACAACGTGAAGTCAAAACAAGAAAGGCTAGAAGAAGCAAGAATGAAATGGAATTGACTTACCAACGTCGTCGGCACGACAGAAGACTCGGAGCATCACCACGAACCAAGATTGGGGCGGGGGTTGGTCTGCCCCGGCGCTCCGCAATCGAGCCCATGAGCGCGCGAGCCTCCTGTCGCTGACGGTGGGCTTCGTACCCTGGGATCTGCTGATAACCAGGAGGAATCACCGGAATCCTAATGGCGGCAATCCGGGGGGACGCAGCCCGACGGCTGGCCCCGTAGCGGGAGGTGCTACTGGTCTCGGGGGCGGCACGTACCGCATCGGTGGAACGGCCGCTTGGAGGTCCATTCTCCATGGACCAACGGGCCGAAAGGGAGACCATCTCAAAGGCATTCATTTTGGTTGTTTGCGATGTTGAATTGCCAATGTAAAATGAATGCAAATGTGAGGGGAGAAGAGAAAAAGAGAAGAAGAGTAGAAAAATGGGTTGGGGATTGTTTATATAGTCCCCAGCCCAAAGAGGAAGGGTCGACCGGCATCAAAAGCGGAGTGCTATTTATACAAATGGCATCAACTTCCGGTCGTTCCTGCTATTTCGGGCATTAGAGGGATCATTAAGCACCTACCTAGGTAAGGACCTAGTTAGGCACTACTGTATTGTTATATACCTAAGGTGTGAGCAAAATAAACAAATCGGCATTATGGTATTTCACTCCTTCTCTAGAGCCTTGTTGACAAGTTGTTCAAGCTTGTTCCACTCAGCGGAGAGAACAGCCCTGGTCTTGCTAGGATCAAGGCCATTAGCCTTGAACTCATTGTGGACCTGTACAAACTGATTTCCGACGAGTTTCCTAAAGCTGGGCACGGTGCAGCTCTCCCCTTGCGTGCTGGTCAGTTCAGCAAGGATGTACCAAATCAAGTAATGGAAATTCAACTTGAAGTCATGGATCTGCACTGGGTCTTTGGGGTCAGGCTGGAAACTCTCCTGGGAAATGAAGACAGTAAGCCTGACCAGGCTCCATGCATGGATGTGTCGGATGGGATGGGCTTTGTCATAGACAACCGGATCAATTCGCAGGTATCGAATGGCAGCGTGGATGAATGCTCGGGTGAAGTTACCAGCCGTCAACAGAGATATGATCAGCTTATCGCGGAGAGAAGCATATGGTTGACGGGTAAGAGGCCATAGGGTGGTTTCATGGAGTTTGTGCATAGCAGCTTCCAGCTTCTCAATTGCGTCTGTTGGCTCGGTGTTGGATGCGGTGGCTTTCTGCATGAGTTCTAGGGCTTCACGCTCTGCTGTCTCTAGGGGAGTCATGTCTTCAGGTGTAGACAAGAACCGGTCTTCAAGGGTTTCAGTTCCCATTTTGCATTTTGTGCACTGGCAGTCGAAGAAGTAGCGTTCTTTCAGTTCGTTACGGCGGATGTCGTATGGTGTAGTGGTGTCGATATAGGAGATGAAGATTTGCTCGCCCTTTTTGATGGGACGCATGGCCTTGACGTACAGTTCTTCGCCGTCAAACCCGACGGTGGAGTTGTAGTCACAGCTGTGGTTAATCAACCCGGCATATGGATGCATGTACAGGCCAATGCGGTCATACATGGAAGTGGTAAGGTTGAAGGAGTTGAGATCCAGCTATAAGTGATAGTCAGAAAAGGGTCCACAAGTTAAGATATCAAGGCTGAAAGTAATCACCTTCGCAGCATAGGAAGCAACAGTTCCTTCATCCATCTCCGTCCCTGAGTAATTCTTGACAGCTCTTGCCGTTAGGTTAATCCTATCAAGCTGGCCCTGGCTCTCCGAGATCTCGTTGATGTGAGTCTCCAAGCCATCGAAAACCTTGGATTCTTCAGAATCGTACTTGTTGCGTGCAGTGCGCAGCACTACCCGTAGGAGAGCTCGGGCATTGTTGGGAAGCACCATAGGCTTGACATTTTTGAAGATGGGGCATTCAAGAGAATGTGCAAACTTCCAGTCCTTGGATTGACACGTCTAATTATCAAGTGTTAGAATATCAAACCAGACATAATATTCGGTAGGACAAGAAATATGAGACAGCAAACGATCTATCCCCATAGCAACTCACCCGATCACAATACTTCACAACACGACATCCGGTGCAAGCCTTCAACTCACTTCCAGTTTCCACCTGTCTCTTTCCAAAGCAGCCAGCGCAAGTGTCCTCTAAACGTGGAGAATCAAGAACTGCCACAAATTGTGTTTTGATGTGCAAAACATCTTCACCGGGGTTGATGTCGGTTGTCGCAAACAGGCCGTTGCCCATGCCATTGGGGGCAGGCTGTGGGACGGTCCTGGTTGTCACTGAAGGTAGTGCAGTTCTTGATGCCATTGTGAGTGGATCTGAATATAGAAATAAGAATTGTTTGAAGATATCACAATCAGAGTGGATAGTCGTCGTGGGGGCGGTGAATATTTGTCATTGTATTTGAATCTCTTGGCATTGATTATCACAGTCTCATGAGACGATTCTGATCTCTTGCGCTCAAAATATCTGCCAGCCGAATGTTGACCATTTTATTATTGTCACTTTAGTGACTCGCATCCTACATCATACAAGCCAAGCCCAGAGATGACGGCAGAGAGAGAAAGACCAACAAATCCCCCCAAAGCAGAAATTCATACTTGGTTAAAATTCCAAGATTTGCATCCAAGAAAGAAACAAATTGGAGACACTATTTGGATGAATTATTAGATGTACATATGGCATAGCTCATTCACAGTGCGTAGAAGAGACTCAAGTCCCAACGAACTAAACATCAGACATGAAAAGAACCAAACTGAAGGCCTAGAGCATAGCCGCAAAAGCAGCAATAGCAGCAGCAGCACCCATTGGCGCAGCAGTGATCAAAGGCTTCACGGCAGCCACAGCACCACCAGTGGAAGCAGTAGGGGTGATCTTCCCCGGCGAAGTCGAAGCCGTCGCGTTAGCCTTGAAAGCATAGGTGCCATCCGTGACGGTAAGAGGGTGATAGGTAACCAAATCCGACGGGACAGATTGCGTGCTAGAGGTGGATTCGGAAACGGTGAGATCATCCTTCATGGCAGTGTAATCAAGGCTCCAAGTGCAGACAGCCGATTCAGAAAGGCGCGTGAAACTGCATGACTCGACGGCGGTTAGGTGGCCCGTCGCACCGCCAGTAACCACAGTTACTTGCATGGAGATGCTGAAAGTGGTGTCGCCCTGGACCATGGTGGCGGGATGGTTCAATGCGCACTTGTCTGCGCCTTCCATGCAGCCGATCTCATAGGTCGTGGCGTACTTGTCGGTGCCGACAACTCGCCCTATGGTGCTGGAGTAGGCGCCGATATTGACGCCTGAGTCATCGTCTCCGAAAAAGCTGATGGTTGTTGTGCTGGGCTCGTTGGCTGCGGCCAGAGCCGCTAGGGTAGAAACGAGGAAACAAGATAAGCGCATGTTTGCAAGGTTCGAAGAGGATGGGTTTCAAGGTTGTAGAAATGGGGATGATTGGAGTTGGGCAGAAGGAAAGAGGTAAGGAAGCAGTGGAAAAACACAGAAGGACTCTTATGTTGCCTCATGACTAGCGTGCCCAATGGGGCTCCCCGACAAGGGTCACGGAGTTCCGGAAGCCAAGCATCGCTTGTATGCTAGCGCTATACTATAGCATACTAAAGACTCAAGCTTAGCGCTGACAGGTAATTTAGTTTAGGGCCCGTGTTGAAAAACCAAAGACACGTTCGTGAAGACCTTCTACGGTTGTGACCAGTAAGCATCAGTCAAGACCGAAGTCATGTAGGTTGAAGTTAAAGAGGAGTTAAAGGGGAAAATGAGAGGTCAGAAATTCCGATGGAGGGGGACCGCAGAAATTGCTGACATGCAACGGGCCCTTTAAAGTGAGACATCGACGTTCGTCTAATTGGCGCCCACAGGAGGCTCAAGCCCCTCATAGCCCTAAGGACGGATATTGTGGCCGAGCCGGAAATGAATAATACGGAGTACAAAGGAGAAGGGATCTTAAAGTCAAATTCGCATAAGATCAGGGGCATATGAGCACTACTGTGTCCGATCTTAATGCGCCGTAGAGGAGAGAGTAGAGACGAGGAACAATTCAACAATTCATAAGGAAAAGACAACATTCCAATCCGAGAGTACAATAATTAAAAAGGCCGAAAAGACAATGCACGCCATCTATCAACAAGATTGCCCTACCCACTACACCGTACAGGAAGTTTGGATCCTGTCCTACATTGGAAATCATGACGGGAGGACCTGAGGAGGTCATAGGGGATATCGAGGGGAAAGAGAGAGATGTTGACATCGTCTCACTCTTTGTCTCGACATGGTGGGGCTTTTTTTTCTCTCTTCTTCTGTCACTTTGTGTAAAGAAATAGAGATTTACAGCGCCTTGCCGCCGACGAAGTTGGACCAGGTGCGGACCTCGGAGGGGATTCCATCACCACGGGGCAGCTTCTCGTTCATGCACTGAGCGAAGAGCTGGGCAGTCTGTAGAGAGGATCAGTTAGCAACTTGAATCATGTATGGGCATCAGCACGTTAAACATACCTTAGGCTCCATGAAGAGAGGAACGCTGAAATCGACAGCATTGCGACGCATGACATAGTCCTCATCAAGCTGAGTCTTGCCACGGGTCTTGGCAAGGTTGAAGCAGCCACGGATGTCGTACTTCTGGAACACCTCACGGAGAGCACGCTTGTCCTTCTTGGGGAACTCAATCAGCTGCACGGAGACGTTGTCCTTGGCGGTGGACTCGATGTGGGCCTTGACAGCGGGGTTGACGGCAAAGAACTTGTAACCAAGAGGGTTCAGGTAGTCGACAATCTTGGCCAGGTAGGGCTGGGAGACATCACCGCCGAGCAAGATACCCTCACCGGGCTCAGGCATGCGGAAGTTCATGGTGGACTGGAGGGAAGCCCAGTAGGCCTCGACCAGATTCTTACCGAAGCAAGCAATCTCACCAGTGGAGGACATCTCGACGCCCAGGAAGGGGTCGGCACCAGCCAGACGGGTCCAGGAGAACTGGGGAACCTTGGTGGCGAGGTAGTCACGCTCCACCTTCATGAGATCGACGGGCTCAGGGACATCACGGCCGACGAGTGCCTTGGTGGCGACGTCGATGAAGTTGGTACCCAGGACCTTGCTGACGAAGGGGAAGGAGCGGGAGGCACGGAGGTTGCACTCAATAACCTTGAGAGCGGGCTCGGCACCCTCCTGGTCGGCCTTGATGATCTGCATGTTGAAGGGACCAGTAATGTTCCAGGCCTTGGCGACCTTCTCGGCAATCTCCTTGACGCGGGCCATGATGGGCTCCTCGAGGTTGGCGGGGGCAGGACGAGGGTGGCATCACCGGAGTGAACACCAGCGGGCTCGACGTGCTCGGAAACGGCGTGGACAAGCAGCTTACCGTTGGAAGCGACGGCATCCACATCGATCTCCTCGGCACCCTCGATGAACTTAGTGATGACGACGGGGTGGTCGGGGGAAACGGCAGAGGCGTTCAGGAGCTTCTCCTTGAGCTCATCGACGCCGTAGATGACGTTCATAGCGGCACCGGACAGGACATAACTGGGACGAACCAAGACGGGGTAACCAACAGCGTCGGCGAAGGCCTCGGCATCAGCGACGGAGGTCAGTTCCTTCCAGGCAGGCTGGTCGACACCAATGCTATCGAGGATAGAGGAGAACTTGTGACGGTCCTCGGCCTTGTCAATGTCCAGAGGGTCGGTACCCAGAATAGTAGCACCACCGCTCTCTTGCAGACGGAGGGCAATGTTCTGGGGCAGCTGACCACCGACAGAGACAACGACACCGCTAGCGGCCTCGAGCTCGTAGATATCCATGACACGCTCGTAGCTGAGTTCCTCGAAGTACAGCTTGTCAGCGGTATCGAAGTCAGTGGAGTAGGTCTCGGGGTTGTAGTTGATCATAACGGTCTTCTTGCCCATCTCGCGGAGGGAGAGAGTGGCGTTAACAGCGCACCAATCGAACTCAACGGAGCTACCAATACGGTACACACCGCTGCCCAGAATGATAGTTCCGTGGTCATCGAAGGTAACATCGTGGGAGGAGGCGTTGTAGGTGGTGTAGAGGTAGTTGGTGTCGGCAGGGAACTCGGCAGCAAGGGTGTCGATCTTCTTAACCCAAGGAGTGATACCGAAGGACTTACGGCGGGCGCGGACATCATCCTCGGTAGATCCAACGAGGAGAGAGATCTGCTTATCAGAGAAACCGAGCTTCTTAGCCTTCATCAGGATCTCCTGCTTGAGGCCGAAGAGGCTGCCGATCTCCTTAAGTTCGTTGTTGCAATCCACGATGTTCTGGATCTTGTACAAGAACCACTTGTCGATCTTTGTCAGTTCGTGGACCTTGTCAACCGAGTAGTTCTCGTGGAGCATAGCCTGTCCAACAGCCAACCAGCGGCGATCAGTGGGGTTGCGGAGAGTCTCATCGAGGTCATCGAACTTATCACCCTGGAGTCCAAGGTATTTAGGGTCAACTTGACGGATGGCCTTCTGGAGGGACTCCTCCCAGGTACGACCAATGGCCATAACCTCACCAACTGACTTCATGGCGGAGCCAATGTCGCGGTTGACGTGCTGGAACTTGCTCAAATCCCAGCGGGGAATCTTGGTGACAATGTAGTCCAGACTGGGCTCGAAGTTGGCGGTGGTGGTCTTGGTAACGGCGTTAGGGAGCTCGGGGAGAGTGTGTCCCAGACCAATCTTAGCCGCGGTGTAAGCAAGCGGGTAACCGGTGGCCTTGGAAGCCAGAGCGGACGAACGCGAGAGACGAGCGTTGACCTCAATGACGCGGTAGTCGAGTCCATCGGGCTGGAGAGCGTACTGAACATTGCACTCGCCAACGACGCCCAAGTGACGGACAATCTTAATGGCAGCAGTGCGGAGCATGTGGTACTCCTCATCAGACAGAGTCTGACTAGGAGCAACAACGATACTGTCACCGGTGTGAATTCCGAGAGGGTCGAAGTTCTCCATGTTGCAAACGGTAATACAGTTGTTGTCAGCATCACGGACAACCTCGTACTCAACCTCCTTCCAGCCCTTGAGGGACTTCTCGACCAAAATCTGGGGGGGAGAGGGATAGAGAGCGCGAGGACAAGTCACGGAGCTCATCGGGGTTGGAAGCGAAGCCAGAACCCAGACCACCAAGGGCGTAAGCAGACCGGACGATGATAGGGTAGCCAACCTCCTCGGCAGCCTTAAGAGCATCCTCGACAGTCTCAACGGCAGTCGATTCAGCAATAGGAATATCAATCTCGTTCAAGGCCTGGGCGAAGAGGTCACGGTCCTCACTGGTCTCCAGGGTCTTGATGGGGGTGCCAAGAACCTTGACACCGTAACGTTCGAAGGTGCCCATGCGGTTCATCTGCACACCCAGGTTCAGGGCGGTCTGACCACCGAAGGCGAGGAGAATACCATCGGGGCGCTCGCGCTCAATGACATGGGTGACATATTCGGGGTGACAGGAAGGTAGTAGACTTCGTCCGCAAGCTTGTGGTCGGTCTGGATGGTCGCAATGTTGGGGTTGACCAGGATTGAGTGGATGTTGGCTTCCTTGAGGGCTTTAAGAGCTTGAGAGCCTATTTGATCACAGAGTCAAAAGGTTAGTTTCCATTGTCATTTGAATTGATGTTTAGGGGTCGTTTCTTGAGCTCTCTGTATTCTCCGCAAAAGCTTCCCGTGCGACCAGACCCCCGTTGGGGGACTGACGGGACAATTCAATCGGCGCGAAATTTCATCTCCGGATGGTTCCAACTTACCGGAATAATCGAATTCTCCAGCCTGTCCAATGCTCAGACCACCACTACCAATGACGAGGACCTTCTTGACATCGACGAGCTTGGTACCAGTCGACACCGCACCGCTAGCGAGGTAAGACTCGGCAGCAGGGGGCTTCTGAGCAGACAGGCGGCTCAAGGTGCTGGAGAAAGAACGGAGCTGCTGTGACCGAGCCGTGGGGATCTTTTGCAGGCGTAGAGTCGAGGTCGTCGAACGGACGGACTGAGATGAGAATGCGCGCAGAGAGAGTGCCGGGCGGGTTTCAGCAATGCAGCGCTGGCGCAGCAGGGCGGCTGCCTGCCCACATCGAGCAGCAAGAACCATTGCGCACCGAAGGTAATGTTTCAATTGCTGAGAGATGTGTTGAGGGTGAGTCTACGCTTTGCTGGGATTCTTTTTTTTCCGCCACGGAGTCGCTAATTGGCCCGCTCCCTTCACCGTATACGGCTCCACTTTTGAAGAACGAGGGAAAGCCGGGGGAGAATTGGGGATTGTAGGTATATATATTGTAGGGAGATCTGAAAGATCCAATAATGAATGTTAATAATTAAAAGAAGAGGTTGGTTTGTTTCTGTATTTCCTGGTTTCCTCCCTTTTTTTTGCCTATTATATAATTTCTTTTTCTTTTCCCAGTTGAGAGCGATGAGTCAAAATCCCGGATGTGGAGACGGGGATCACTCGGCAAATATCTTGTATGTATAAAATCCAATGTCCAGCTGCATATAAATAGAGGCTAGGGAATTATTTATTGACATATTTACATTGTCATTCATATAGGGGTTATAGAGTGTATAGCAGACAATTATTGGGAGCTTCTAGCAAGAACATCATACATATCACAAGACGATCTTCCTGTGGACAATGCCGATGCCGGACCCCCAGCGCTATCTCTTATCTCTCGACTTCATGTTATAATTTTATAATTTTACACCAAAACCCTAATTGACGACAAATTGCCTACCGAAATTGGCTACGGCGAATCTTAGACGCCGATTTAGCTCCCTTTCTACTACCAAAATCTTAGTTATTCAACGTCACGTGCGTAGGATGTATTTATGATCCCTGATCAGTGCTCGTTGCTCAGTGAGCACATGACCTGGGCAGTTAGGGTTTCTTGGTGATCGGCTCACCCTTCCAAGGTTCGCTCAATATTATTAGGGTAAAGTTTTAGTTGACCTTTGTGGTCACAATTTTACATAGTCCGTTGTTAGCCGCTTGTGGGGTCCCAGATAGTATCTGTGGATTACTTGTCAGGGCCAGTACTGAAAGCGTCGATATCTGCAGTTAGGAGGGCATAGATATTCACTAAATAAATTGTGATGATATTTGAGTTGGCCCCACTGGCGCCTTTCAGATATTGTTTATTGAAGTAGACATGGTGGATTTCAAAGGTTGAATATGTCGTCGGCCAGAATTGAAAGATAAGGTAGACTATATATAAAGGGGGACCTTGTTAATGCTGGACTCTAAACCGATGCGATTGAATAGTTATGAAAAGGGATGGGATGGTGCACTAGTAAGTAATATATATAGAGGAATCCCTATTATCTGGGCTTGTAAGAGTCCTTTGGGAAATTACTACAAGCATCGGAAGAGAAGGACATAACTTGTGTCTACTAGTGGTAGGCCAACGCGAAAGGATCGATAAGAAGATGCGGTCACAAGTCAAAGTCTGTCTGATCGCAGCCTAAGAAGCACAACGTAAGAAAAAGCAAAGTGGTAGCTCCATATGTAGGAGTTTGATTTATGACAGGATTGCATCGCGCTCTGGGAGACCAAGACGAGGATTGTCATCCATTCCAAGGTTGCATCGGTAGACATTGCCAAGGAGATATTTCTGTGTCCATAATGAAGTTCACAGTGCCCAAATTCCCAATCAGCATAGGTTATATAAGTGTGCCATTAAACCAACCGTGGCAGGTCTTTTAGAACCTTGGGAAACAGGAGCCTCATCCATGGATCCATCCATCCATATTGGGTATGTGGCCCCTTAAATATTAAATTAGCCAATCACAAGCTTCTAAACATGTATCTTCCCCTTTTTACTTCAACCTGACAAGGAAATATATACATGAACCTTGGAATGATCCCGGGGGCTATACTCCGTAACCATTCACGAATTTTCAAATTTCTAAAAATCAACACGGCAGATAGATTCGTAGACCAGCTTACGGGCTGAGACCAGGCAGGTATCAGAAGGATCTTAGCGTTTTGCTTCCTTGCGGCTCTAACTGGCTCTACTCGGTGCCGTATCTATTATTCACATTGGGACAGTAATATTGCATTTCTTTTATAGTAATTGACCTTTCACTGTCTATGTGTTGGTCTTCGCGGGCTCCTCCATGACAACACAACAGCGTTTTCTTCATCATCATCCTGATAAGTTATATATCTAACAACCTCCACACCAAAATACAAACGCACCTAGTTGGACCAAACTGAAATGAACGGATAGAGTATGTTATATATTAGGAATAACTGATATAATACTTACAACACAGTGAATTATTCTACAACCCCCACTCTCCCATTCAGACGAGACCAAGGACCACTCGGTTGTTTCTCAATCCGAGACCCACCCCTCGACATCCCCTTCGCGGAACAAGTGTCGGAGGCCCATGAATCCGACACATCTCGGCTCTCCTGACCCTCCAGCACCTCATCGAGATCCTGGTTGAGCGTTTTACAAACATCAGCCAGGGTCTGCCGGGAGTCCTGCGCAACCTCAGCACCCAATGCGATCTTTTGTTGAACAAAGTCTCGTCCATTGGCAGCTGCAGCATTAGAGGCAAATGCCCATGCTTCAGCGAGACCAACAACCTCATCCCGGGTCTGATCGGAGGTCTGGGTCTGGATCCGCGAGTTGAGAGCAGCAGCCGCATGATTAAAGCGCGGCTGGCGGGCGGGAGCGGGGTATTCGGGGAGTAGGTGGGATTCGTCGCTTAAACGATTGAGAGCGCGGAGGGTCGTGGACTTTTCTTTCGAGAGTAAGCCGGATAAATAGGATTTCTGGAGAGCCAGCGACTTTTCACTCTTAAGTAGCGGAACCAGGTTTTCGTTTGTGTATGACAGAACGTCGATTGGGTTGGGTGGTGGCATTTCGGCTATGGCAAGTTCGTTTTTGTTGGTTGGTCGTGACGGAGGCTTCTGGGCCACATTAACTGGCTGACAAGCTCTGGAGGCGGCGTCGAGGAGATCTCGCCGGGCTCGCAGATATGTAGCATATTGCTCCGTAATTTGTATCTTGCGATTCTCTAGCTCCCGCTGGGCCTCCTCGATTTCATCCGGAGGAAGTTCTTGAAGAAGACTCTCATCCGGATCCTCTTGACCAACTAGCCGTTCCTCCACCCATTGTACAAGCTCATCCCGGGTTGTTTGTAATGCTTTTGCTTTAGCGTCTGAAGTCGCGGCTCGGGGATCATGCTGTGCCTTGGCTTTCTCAAACAATTGCTTTTGCCGGTCCAATTGAGTTCTCGCGCGAATAACTGCTCTCTCGAGACTATGCACTAGACCATCCAAGTCCGTTTCAGAGCTATCGTGCCCCGCCTCTGCATCTACCTCCGGCAACAGCATTTGCTCCCCATCGTTGCCAACGTCCACCAAGCTGCCCGCGTCGCGTGTTTTAATTTCCTCAAGATAATTCTGAAACACCTGCAGCTTGGTATGGCGGCGTCGCTCGCGTAGGAGGGCAAGGTATTCACGAAGTTCGGTGCCGGGTTCTTGCAGATCAGCGTCGTCAGAAGGGCGGTTCGGGGACGTCCTCTGGCGCCTTAACGAGGCGACGTTCTCAGACGCCAACGCGAACTCTTTGCGAGCCGCAATATTGGCCGCCAATGCCTTCAGATAATCCTTTCTCAGCCCAGGGAGATCGGTAGGGATACGTTTGACATCAGTAACAGCATCGGTCGAGGCACACAAGGAGAGGTGGGATTGAGCATGGTCGCTTGACTGATCGTCGAATTCGATAAATGAGCGCAGATAAGACGTCAGTGCCTGGCGAATTTGAAGGGTTTCCTGGCGCGACTTGACGTAAGGAGCGAGCGGTTTCAGAGCGGGTGGAATGTGGGTAGCGTCAGGGGAGTTGGGTAGGGCCATGGTTTCATTGGGCGGGGGGCAGTGCTATGCAAGCTTAGATATCGGGAGAGACAAGCTGAGACCTTGACAGGTCTTGGAAGGCTTCACTGCCACAATGGACAGGGATATCGTGAGGTCGAACTGCAGGCGGTTGCCCAGCTCTTTCGTCAACGGCTTATGTAACATGCAGATCATCCCCAGTCCTGAAGTGGAGCTTCCAAGGTTGTTAGGGGAAGTCAAGCATCTATGATATTTTGAGTATGACGTTCTTTTGGGGGCTTATAGGTGGAAGACGCCGATCAACAATAAATTGAGTCTATTATTGCACAATTTACTAGATAGCTTCAATTGAGACATCCAATATGCCTCAAAAGGGGCCTGAGCACCATGTCTACCTCCGTACCATCTCCGTTCATTTGTATACAAGATAATTGTATGTAGATTAACAAGATATTCATGGATTATACCATGACAGCTACCAAATAGTCACCTGGGCACTTTAGTATGTCAGCCTTTCCATAACTAGGTAAATAGTGTAGGTGTTCCTACAACATGCCTGGAATGTCACTATTATCTCTCGAGCTACGATGTACATGTACAATCGATGCAGATTACATGCACGGCCCAATCAAAGCGACAAAGCGACAAAACATTTCACGGCAAGAGAGAAGCCCGACTTTTTTTTGGATTTCTCTCTTGCCTTTTCTCAATCCCCTTCCCGAAAGGAGTAAGGCCTTTGAACATCCCCCCCGACATAACTGGTATGTTTCAAGAATCTCCCTGGAATTGCATCAAGGGGTATTTTGATTCATAATTCCGGAGATCTGACTGTTACTGATTATTTACCCCAAGGCTGAAACATTTATAATTCCTCTCGACTCACATGCCGCAGCGGAAAAGCAAATTTACTGTTTAAACAATATTATCAGAACATACCTGTCGGCCATGGCTCCCGACCTGAGCGCGGTTTCCAACTCTACTATGGCACGACCTCGTGCAGCAACAACGGCACCCGCTATGGCATCGCAGTCTCCAACACCCAGACAACCAGTACATGGCCCTCATACGTCTGCAACACTTCCTCCAGGAAGTCCACCACTTGGAACGGGGGATTATGGCATCACAAGTACTGCTCAGGGTAAGTCCGCAGTGGCAGACGTCACTTCAATGGGCATCCCCGACTAACAGAACAAGGGCCACTGCGTCATCCTCAGCCGCTGACGCCTTCGGATCTCCATCTAGTGCTTGAGAAAGAGCAAGAAGCGATGGTGAGTGGAATTCCAGAGCCCCAAAGTATACCTACCCCTCAATCGCTGACGCATCAAAACTCCCCGCAGGTGAATCGATTGACCCGAGAGCTATCTATTCTCCGCCAGCAGACCGCATCCGTGGCATCGACAGGATCCTCCACATCAACATTTAACGAGGCAGATGGCACACGGGCATCGCCCACCCTCAGTAGCTCGACCCCGTCTCACTCCGCGCGACGCAACCGGTCCAATTCAAGTCTCAGTTCGCATACTTCAGCAAACCAGGGCCAGCAGTCTGCAAGTGTTACTGGAATTGCCCCATCACGAGAAATACCGTATCGCCCGGCAGACCATTCCCGAACAGTTCGCAGTCGCGAGCCATCCCTCACATCTCGCCGACCCTCCATCGGGTCACTATCATCATTCTCCCCACAATAACAGCAGCATATACCCACACCGGAACTCGGTATCACAGTCGCAGCTAGGTCATTCGCCCGGAGGGTCGCTGTCGCGGTTCGAGGAGGCCACACATCACCGGTTGGAAGTGGAATACATGAAGCGGGAGAACGAACAGCTCAGGAGGCGGGTGCGCGATCTGGAGCAGACTTTAAAGAGACAAAAGGAGGATTCTGCAAGTGAGGCTTCTGCCATACCGTTCTGAAAGAATCATTGATGCCTGATTCAACTTCCATTCCAACCCATACCATTCTTTCGCATTGCCTGGGGACAGTGCCCAATATTTTCATTTCGGGAGGTTTGCAGGCAAACACATTCAATGAAATCCTATTTTTGACATGTGAAATCCGATTTCATTTTCTAGGCAGCTCCATTGAAAATCATATGTAGTCCAATTAAAGAGGTCAAAAGTAAAAGGAAAAAAAAGAAATTAGCTATGTGAGGCGGTGCAACTGCCCCGCCATACGTCACCACGTCACCTGTGGCGCAGTCCTAGATAAATAGTTGCATCCCACCTGGGAAATGCTGTGACGTTTAGATTTTTCTTCTCAAGTTTCTTCTTTCTCTTCTCTATCTAACATCATAATGTCTCACTCCACTGTTCACGTTTCTGGCATCTCGCCAACAACCTCCGAGAAGGAGGTTCGCGACTTCTTCAGCTTCTGGTACATTGTCGCAACTAGTACTTTATTTTAACAACTCGCTAACTTAAAACAGTGGAAAGATTGTCACCCTCTCCATCACCCCAGTCTCTGGGGAAGCCGACGCTGAGAAGTCCGCCACTGTGACCTTTGAAAAGGAGGCGTAAGCTACCCCGCACCCTTCCCGCCTGCAATCAGCCCACATGAAACCCAAACTAACCCAATCCCCAAAAACAGCGCTGCCAAAACTGCCCTCCTGCTAGACCAGACCCAACTAGGCACTTCTGCCGTGCACGTCGAAGCAGCCCAAAACATCGAAGACCTAGCCGGAGCCCAAGCGACCGGCGCAGGCGAGACCAAGGAAGAAGAGCACCACATCCCACAAGAAGACAAGCCCCGATCGCGCATTGTCGCGGAGTACCTGGCGCACGGGTATGTTGTGAGCGACAATGCGATTATGAAGGCGATCGCACTGGACAAGAAGCACGGTGTCTCGAGCCGGTTCACGTCCGCGCTCTCAAACTTCGATAAGAAGTACAATGCCACTGAGCGCGCTAAGGGCATTGACGATAGCTACCAGATCTCCAACAAGGCGGCCACTGGCTGGCGCGGCCTGAGCTCGTACTTCGAGAAGGCACTGGGTCACCCCTCCGGCCAGAAGCTGCGTGACTTTTATGTTCAGACCGATAAGCAGGTGCGCGATATTCACGCTGAGGCTCGTCGTCTGGCGGATCTGAAGCAGGGTAAGACTGGTGAGGCTGAGGGTGCTGCTGCCCCTGCCTCTGCTGATGCCCCTACTGCTGTTGCCCCTGCTGCTGAGCCCGCTGCCGTTACTCCTCAGCCTGAGGCTGCTGCTGCTGCGCCTGTTGAGAAGTCGTAAGGGATTCTTGGAATAGGTCCTAACTTAACGAGGAGATGAATATTTGCGCTGGGCGTGTTTACTTGTGTCTACTGCTTTATCTTTTCCCTTCTTATTATGCCATGCCATGTCCATAGTCCATTTTCCTTCTGCCTGTGTGATAGCCTGACAATTTGAACTCTCGCTACAAGCGAGCCGTTGATAACCATGAGGTTCCCAATCAGCAAAGAAAATGGACATAAAAGACTGATTACAGTCCCAAGATTTAATGTATCGTTTAATAAGTACATAGCTCAAAGAAAGATAGTTATTTGAGCTTATTCTTCATGATATCAATTATCCAAATTTCAAAATCAAAAAACTCTCCCAAGTACATGCAAGAAACACCCATCTCAATGTTGTTTTCCCTTAGCGAACTTCTCCGCCTCAATCTTCTCTAGCGGGTGCTCGGGGTTGCTCGTCAGCACATGATCCCTAAAGTACTCCGACGATTGTTGCGAGAACTGGGGTGCCGGGTGTTTGCCGACTTCGGTTCTGCCAGAGCCGGGGACATCCTGCTGCTGGGCGCCGGGTTGGCGCTCCGGATCGGGGGATTGGCGGCCGGGGTAGGGAGCAGACATTGTGGATATTGTAGAATTGGATTTGATGTGCTGAATAGAGGGATAAGTGTGAGTTTCTTGATTAAAGAGGGAAAATGAAGTATAAGATATGATGATCTTGATACTGACCTTGGATGGATGTAGTCTTAGTGTTGTAGAATATTTGTGTTTAAGCAGTAAAACCCAAGGAACAGCGCGCGTTTTATTTTCTGGAAGTTAACTGACGTTACCAGCTAAACCGGTCATCGGGGGTCATCATCATGACGTTGTGGAGTGCCACTTGGGAACAAGGTGCTCCATTCTACCTATGTACTACCGATCGAGGATGATATTGCGACTTTTAACTACAATAGCTGTATACGATGTGCATTGATGCCGAATTGTACAGGAATCCTGATTTGCTAGTTATACCACGAGGCTGTAGTTATAACTATAACGATAGATCCGTACTATAGGCTACATTCTCACTTCTTTGCTTAGAACTACCACTTCTTTGAACTAGCGTCCTTATATATTAGGGCTCTAGAACTTGCCTTGATTTATAACATAAATACACACAGATCTTCAAGTTGACTTCAAAAGTGAAGTGCGCCGACGTCGGGATCTGATAATGCCTCTGAGGAATATGACGTCATTTGTCACGATCTTTGTTTTGACCTCACGTCTTGTTCTACACCCCTGGCCAATCCTCCCCCGGTTGCTTCTAATGTGGCTTTCTTTGAGGCTAGTTTAGTGTGTCTTGCTGGGCGTCCTTATAAATACCTACATGAGTAATCTTGAAATGTTCTTGTAACGATGTGGATTCAGTCCCGAGTCCACCTATATGGCTGGTATCTACGGTACTACAGGTTCCAGAACTGGAATCCAACATCCGTAGCTTGGCTGATGTACTATATCATGACGAAACAAGGGTGTCTTCAGGGGAATCTGTGCATCGAAGAGGATTAGAAGGGGAGGGGGGAATACCCTCGAGCAGAATGTCCACGGGTAGGACTTTTAAGAGTACATCAGCGAGAGCATGGGAGGAAAAAGACATGACGAAAGAAACACGGAGGTACAGAGCAGATGGGACATGATCTAATGAAGCGGGAAAGACATGAAATGGGCATATGGTCTCGTGAGGAAAATGTGGAAGGGGGAAATGAAAAGAGACTAGACGTCCGAGGCATTGGAAATTCGAAGCTTTTTTGTTTTTCTCAATCCATCTCGGTTATAGTCTCTTAGTTGCCGTTGGCCTGCATGCCCGCTGCGGCGGCGGCTTCTGCGTTGGCAGCGGCAACCATGGCCTTGGCGTCGGCTTCGTGGAAGACGCCTTGAATGACCTGCTGCTCTTCGGGGCCGAGAACCTTGGTCAGACTCTCATAGAGCTGGGGTTGTTCTTGCTGAAGGCCTGAATTTGAGGTTAGCGGGTGATACGAAGGAGATACTTTCCCGAGGTCGTAGAGGTTACTTACTCAGCAGGACATGCTTGAACATGCCATACGGCTCCAATTTGTCCAGAGGGGTCTCAAGAAGGCTTTCCTCGTCCATGTCATCATCGTCATCATCGGCGTAGGAGCCGAACTTTTGAGCCTCCTGGTTGAGGAAGTCGAGGTAAGCGGCACTCTCGTCGACGACATCGTCTTCCTCAAGAGCTGCTTCAACCTCATTTTCATCCCACTCAACATCTCCATCCCAGTCATTGTCCTCGTCATCCTCATCATCTTCGTCATCGAGGGTGAAGTCAGACTCTCTGGTAGCATCCTCACGTTCTGAATAAAGTCTTAGCCTTGGGGGAACACGACGGGGTGTTGGGGGAAACGTACGTTTGAGAGCAGCAGGCAGGGTCTGGAAGAGCCTTGTCACACCCTGCAAGAGTCTTGGCCATCCCTGCTGAACACTGACTGGAACATCGGTAGCCTTCAGAGTAAGCAGTGAGCTGATTGCGGCAATTGAGAGCTTCTTGTCGTGCACACGTCTGAAGTTGTCGATATTAGCGAACCAAGTGCTGAAGAACTTGTTGGTCCAGCCCTTGGCCTCCAAAACCTGAAGACTGAGAGCTGAGTTGTAGTAGATGGCGTTGATGACCATCTCCATCAAGTGGATGCGGTACGACTTAGTGCGTGCCTCGCCGGCGTCGATAACCCGCATGGCCATCTCAATGAACATGGGGATATACTGGTCAATGTGACCCCGAAGGTTGAGCATAAGGGTCTCAGCGAGCTTGCAACCGCAGATGCGGTCAACGCCACCGACCTTCTCGTCAGAAAAGATGTCCTGGACCATGCCGACCATAGCATCCAAGTAAGCTGGGTTCTGAACCAGCATATCGGTGCCATAAGCGACGTAGTTGTCAAGAGCGGGGAGCATGTCTGCAGCAGAAAAGTTAATAGGAATTCAAGACCGCTTGAATTTAGTTGAACCTCTTACCTTCGAGATACAGCTCAGCGCCAGCCTTGAACGTCTTGTGAATCAGCTCGAAGGCTTGCCACATGGATGGGGAAATGGTCTTCGATGCGAATGTGCAGCTGTCAATGATCTCGAAAATTTCGTTGTAGAGATCTAAAATACCGGATTAGAGGTGGACATAAGCTTGATAGATTGAAAAACTTACCATAAAGCTTGTTCTCCAGGGTGATGCTGATGACGGGCATCAAGATGGTCTCAAGGTGCAGAAGCACGTCAGGGGTGCTCTCGAGAGTGAGAATAAGGGTGCCGATGGTCTGCAACACGCCCAGAGCGGTGATGCTCTTGTCATCTAGGAAATCGCCGTAGCCATCTTCGTCACCACCCTTGGCGGCGTTGCGCTCCAGGAGCTCACCGACAATACGCATGTAAGTATCGCGGAGCTGCTCGCTCAGCGCCACAGCGAAGGGAGTAAGCTCGGCAGAGAAAACCTCAACAAAGTCCTCCATGACGTTGGCCAGAGCATCCACGTCGACCTCATTGGCCAACTTTAGAAGCTGCTGCATAATCTGGGGGATGTTCTGCTGCATCGATGTACGGATGACATCGTGACGGATAAGGGGCTGGAGAGCAAGGGCGGCCTCAACTCGAACAGGAAGTTCGGAATCGGTCATGGACTCGAGGATGTTTCGATAGATAACCATGAGGTTGTTCGGGTCCTTGAAATCAAGTTGCTCGAATTTCTCCAGTGTGTCGCAAGCACGAGCACGGAGGAAGCCGTGAGGACTACGGAATTCGGGGAAAACGTGACGGACGAAGAAGTATTCAACCTGGTCAGCGATCGGGCTCTTCTTGCCCAGAATGACGGAAGCGAGCGATCCAATCATTCTCAAAGCTCCCTCTTCTCCCTTGGCTGCTTCTGGCCCTCCGGCGCAGACTCATATTTGCTAACAACGCTGTTCACGAATGTGAGAATGGAGAAAGTCTGCTTCTTGCGGTTCTTGGTGAGGGAAACCAAGAAGTTGGTAGCGGCAACATCAGGAGCGGACACTTCCTCATAGAAGTTCAACTTGCGGTGGAGATACTCAGATGGGTCATCTTCGAAAAGCTCAATGTCCTCGTCGGACTGGCACAGGATAGGGAAAACGAAGTGGGCGATCAGGTTATCCATGTGCGGCTTCAAGTGGTCCCACATAGCCTTTGGCTTGACACACTCCTCCATAAAGACCAAAGTATACGACAGTGCGGAATTGCTGAGCCATTGCGTCTTGGAAACCCACTTATCAATCTCCGTCAGGTATCCCTTGAGAATTTCGGGGGCGAAAGTGCTGATAAAGGTCTTGGCATACGGTGTGTAGTCAGGGGTAGAGGATTTCGTGATTGTGGTGGGGTTGCCATATCTGATGAATAGGCGGTTCAGGTTGGCGTATGACCACTTCTTGCACTTCCACCAGTGGTTCATCTCCCTCTCCTCCTTTGAATCCGCCATTGAGCTCGCAGGGGGTGTTTTCGAGACAATGCGCAGGAATAGTGTACACCAGTCAACAGTGGCCTGGTGGGTTTGTAGGCATGGAGAAAGCTCGAACTAAATTCGTAGCAGGTCAGTATAAATGGCGTAGCCACGCGCAGACTAGAATCAGGGTAACCGACGTAAATTGCGTGCTTGAAAGCCTTCACCACAATGCGAAGCATCTCGGCAGCCTCCAGACTTTCCTCGTCAACAAGCTTCGATCCAATGCTGAGCAGCTGGGGGAATGAATGCTCCACGATCTTATCGAACTCCTCTCTCTTCTCACCGGCTTTGAACCTGTAAACCCGGCAGACTGCCAAAAGGCACTGCAGACCCGCATAGACCGTACTTGCGTCATTGGTGCTGAGGAGCTGCAGAGTAAGATCCAAGAATCCGGGCCACTGCTCGGGGAAGTCGTTTTGGAGAATCTTCTGGAGGAGGGGAACCAGTTGATTGCGGACATTGGGAGGGGTCGAGGCCAGGGCAGGGATAAGTCTCTCCCTGAAACTGGGCTTTTCGGCTTCAGGAATTGGCGTACGCTGCGGGCTATCTTCGACGGGGGCCCATCCGCGGGTAATACGGTTCTTCAGGTAAACACCAGCTATAAGAGAGAGCGGAGTCAGTAACAGACAGAAGTCTTCGCGAACCAATATGGACATCCAAAAGACATACCAGAGAGCTGGACTGCATTGTTCTGTTCGCCCTGCAAGATATCCAAGAGTCCATTGATAAATCCGGGTTGCGTCTCGGCCTAGATATATCAACCACGTGTGAGCCTGACGTTCGGTGCCCCGCCAGTCGATCTAGCACATACATATTTCAAATCAAGCTCCGCTTGCCGGCGAATATCCGCATTCGCGTCTAGAGTAGACTGAATACGATCTCGGAGGGCTGCAACATCCATCGCGCAACAATCCCCCAACACCAGAAAGTCAAAAAATCTCCAAATAAATTGAGAACCCCGAGGGAGACGCGGACCGGCGCCGATGAAAGACGGGCAAGGGGAGAGAGTCAAGGATTGAAAGGACGTGAATGTCCTAAAGAGATCGTATGGATCTTGAAGAGAAGGGGAGAGAGAAGATGTTGTTCTTCAAGAGGAGGGGGATTTTTTTCGATTTTCCCGACTCTCGGGAGGCGGTCGCCCCGCAGCTAATCAGAGGCCGCACACACGGATTTTCTTATATGAACTATGGGCTACTAACTATGTTATATAACGCTTTGGGGTTGATTTAATTGCTTTCTATAAAGTATTATAAAGTATTGTGGTATTTTGAGTAATTCATTTCGAATTCAATGGTTTCATGTTCATTTCTTCGTCTCGATTTAAGTACATTGTGATGAATCCGGAAAAGAATTCATGACTACCCAATAGGGGCACAGGCATAACCCATATATCTCCCAAGGATTGGATGTCTTCACATGTAAAGCGAGGCCGCGAAGATGACATCGCGCTTGATCAACTCCTGAGCTTGCTGCATCTTGGTGTAAAGGTTCGGGTCGCCGACCAATTTGGCCGCATTCTTCACTTCGCGACAAGTCTCGTCAAGTCGGGTGATCACCCGAACAATAGTACCCTCCATCACATCCGTGAGGTCTGTGATGCGATTGAAAGACATTCCCTTGGCCCACTCATAAACAACTTCGGCAAGACCAAAGCGTGGCTTGCTAGCGAAGTCGTTGGCATCTTCACTAGACTGAATGACTTGGTGCAGGATCTGGAAATCATTCACTCTCTCGGCGATACGAATGATCTCCTTCTGGCCCTTCTCCAGACGAGGAGTGAGGGTAGGGGTGCTCTCTGTCTTCTCCTGGAACACAAATGCGGAGAGGAGTGCAACAATCTCCTCCGGTTCGAATTCAGCAAGAACGTTCTCGAGAACCAATTCGGTCAATACCAGCTCGTCGGCGGAGTGGATCTCGCATGCCACCTTGCCCTTCAGTTGCACACGAGATTGTTCGTCAACAAAGCCGAGCTCCTTCAGCACGTGAATGCGCTGCTCATAATCCGGAAGTAGTTGAAGGTTTTGGTCGGACATCAGTTGCTTCAGCTCCGAGATGTTTTCTTTAACTTGCCACTCGTCGTGTTGCATCTCGAACTATCAGAAATTAGTACCTGGTTTAGATCAATAGAGGCATGATACTCACGTGGTCCGCGAAATTAGGGCATTGTAGACAGTTGCGTGACTGGGCAATCTCGGCCTGAGCTTGTCGTTTGTCGAGGATATCGCGGATTCCCATCTCTTTGATACGTTGCCAATCGATTTCCTCCCAGGCCGCATCGATCCACGAGTTAGTGTACTGACACAGTTCCTTTTCGGCCCACCTGGTAGCCTCTGTTCCCGAATTAGTGTTTCTTGACAACTGTATGTGCAAAAATAAGTCTCGTACCTTTCTTAAGGTTCAGATACCATATCGGTTTGGTTATCTTAACCAGTGTGTTTGTCACGCACTCGACATCAGATAGCGGGATCTTGCATACGCGAAGGCTCATCTTCTCGACGCGATTGGGGAGTGGCTGGAAGTACAGTCGGAACAAAGGCAGGAATGGAAGGATGTCAGTTGGGTGCCGCTTGTTACTCAACGTTCCGATCTCAAGCACTTGAATGCAGGCACAGCCCCAACGGCCCCCGCGGAAACCCCATCGCGCGTAATAACACCAGCGGTACGCAGTCCGTCCTATCTTTCACGTCAGCATTTCACCAAACACGTAACTACACCTGGGCAACATAACAATGGCGACTCACCTTGCGGTACACAACCAACCTCTTTATTCCGAAAAGACGTTTGCCGACAGGCGATGATAGCAGTTCAGCATGGAATTGAGCCGTGAGCTTTCGATACTCCATGGCGGCGTCATGGCAGGCAACCAAATCCAGGTCACAGATTTCACATGGTGCCCGTTTGATTTTCGCAAGACTGGCCTCAGATACCTGGACTTGCTTCTCCTGTTCCGGTAAGAGAGCTTGCGTTGCGTTTTCACTGAAACTCCGTTTGATCATTTCTTCAATCTTTAGGGCTTCCACACGCAACAGATTCAGCATCATGTTGTATGTAAGTCGAAATTGAGACCTGAGCTTTGTCGGTTCTCCAAGAATCATCTGCTTCAGCGACGCAGCAGAAGGCGCCTCGTCTTTTCCGCTGCTTGTCACGATAACATACCCCACGTTGTCAAGACCTCTACGACCAGCACGCCCCGCCATTTGCGTATACTCACCGGGCAGCAGATCACGGAATCCTTTGCCGTCGTGCTTACGGAAACCGGAGAATACCACAGTTCGGGTGGGAAGATTCAAGCCCATCGCAAAGGTTTCCGTGGCGAATAGGACCTTGACGAGAGACTTGGCGAAGAGAATCTCGACAACTTCCTTCATTATGGGCAGGAGACCGCCATGGTGTACAGCAATGCCTCTGCTTAGTAGCTCCCGAAGGCGAAGAATCTGCGGCAGCGTGCGGTCCTCAGGCTTCAATCGGGTGAGTGACTTCTCAATGAACATGTGCGTCAAACTCTTCTCGGTAGCATTGCTGAAGTCTTGGTTTGACAGTGAGTCCGCGTTCTCCTCGCATCGCTTCTTAGAGAAAACGAAGACACATCCCGGCAGCAAATCCTCTTTGCGAAGATGCGAAACAAGATGCACCCAGGTGTTTTTGTCCTGGGCCGCACTGGTACGGCCACCACCACGGCCTGTGCGAGCAATGTTGCCTGTGCCTCGGTTGGCATACTGTCCGCCGCTCTGTCCACGACCTCGTTGCGGACCTCCACGTTGCGGGCCTCCACGCTGTGGGGCGCCGCGACCACCTCTGACGTTCGGTGGCTGACCACGTCCCCGACCCTGAGGGGCTGGTGCTCTAGCTTGTGCCGACTGTGCCTGAGCTTCAGCCTCCTTCATGGCTTTGAGCTTATCTCTACCAGACAGAATATCATCCGCTGCCTTCCAGCCGCTCTCGAGGAATCTTTTGTTGGAGTCAACGATCTTGTGCTTGCTCTTCCCGGCCCAAGATAGTGCTCCAGCGGAACAGGTCGCTTATGGGTTGAAATCACATAAATGTCCTTCTTCTTTGTACGGCCCACCCAGGATGCAAACTCCCGGGTATTGGGCACAGTGGCAGAGAGAAGAATCAACGTGACATGCTCTGGAAGCATGATGATAACTTCTTCCCATACTACACCTCGTTCGAGGTCGTTCACATAATGCACCTCGTCGAAAATGACGAATTCAACGTCCCGGATGAGATCAGCGCCTCGGTACAGCATACTTCGCAAGATCTCAGTGGTCATGATGAGGCAGCTGGCTTCCGGGTTGATTTGAACATCACCAGTCAGAATACCGACATCGTCGAATTCGGCTCTGAAATCACGGTATTTCTGGTTGCTCAGCGCTTTGATGGGAGACGTATAGATCGCCTTCGTCATGTGTTTAGCAGCCAACGCGATCGCATATTCAGCCACAACTGTCTTGCCGGCCAAGGTATGGGCCGCAACAAACACCGAATCACCATTCTCAAGGTGGTAAACGGCCTCCTTCTGGAAAGTGTCGAGCTCGAACGGATACTCCCTGGCCATGTCTGGAACCAACTCATTGAAGTTTGGAATATCCTTGTTGACGTCCACAACGTGGGCCCATTCTTTACCCTTTTGCTTGTGGACGCCTGCGAGCAACTGGGTACGTGGTTCCAATGCCGGGAACTCAACCGGTAACAAATCATCAATGTCTTCTTGATCTTCCTCGTCGCTGAGATCATCAAGCTCCGGCTGTGCTCCTGTATCAATATCGGCAGTTTCCTCAGGTTGATCCACTTTCAGGTCGCTTTCCTCTTGGAGAAGGGCAGTTTCGACTTCTTGGGCACTTTCGGTGGCGGCTTTGGATTTGGCTTCATCGAAATTGATACCGTTATCGAAGCCAGGGGGTGTTGTCAGAAGACCTCCCTCGGTGCCAAAGTTGATAATGCGATCGAGCCCAGATTGTTTTCCGGTGCTCGCTTGCTCTGTGAGCTGAGCCTCGGCCTCCATATCTGCCACGGACTCAATAGCGCCCAAGCCTCCGGGAGCGAATGGAAAAAAACCTGCGGCACCTCTGACAAACTCGGCACGGCCAGCAGGTCGGCGGAGAAGCGAGGTGGAATTCTTGGCTGTTGCGCTTGCAGCAGGAACAGTCACTTCATGATACCCAGTAACGCGTCCTTCCAGTCCCTCTCGTGTGAACCGAGTCACCGTCCGTGATTGTGTCGGGGCGAGTTCGAAAAGGTCTGCGTAATCGGTCGAAACGTCCCATCGTCTGCCAAAGCTGTTAAAAGCTGCCCCGCAATTGGAAATAACATACATACCTTTGCAAAGTGTTCAGCCATTTAGTGCTGAACTGGTCTGACGGGGTCAGGAACTCATTTTCAAGCTCGGCCAGCAACTCTTGGGCACTCTGAGGAGCTTGCTTCCGAGCTTGGAAGTTCTCGATCTTGCCATCCTCTTCGTCCGCGAGACGAGCATCAAAGGCCGCTGAGTCGAAGGTATTGCCTTCTAGGGTTAACTTCTCCATTGGGGAATCGACCGAGTCCGCCATGGTGTGAAGCAATGTGTTGAAGAGTCAACCGGCGAGTGAAATTATGTCGATGTTTGACTCGGCAGTAGCCGAACCCCACACCGATATGGGTATCGATTACAGCCTTTGGCTGAAAACTAAGAGGAATTATTCTTGGGAGTTAAAGGAAAAAGGTGAAACGAATGAAATTGACACCACTGTTGAGTCTGATGAAGTGTTTCGGAGTTATTCCAGGCAAGATCAAGCAGCGACTGTTTACTTTGTGAACTTTGTGAACTTCACCGAGAGACACTAAAGGCGGTATACTCTGGCAGTATACATGACGTCGATGCCCCGAAAGATCATCCGAGCATCGGAGAAATGATATCCCGAACAATCTTTCTGTCTACCTACCTAGGTAGGTACCTAGGTACACTGCACTGTCTGCTCTGTCCAGTCTGTCTAGTCTTTCTAGTCCTTCCTACCCCTTCTACTCCTGTCTACTCCTAACCGCTCCATCTACTCTGCTCCATCTACTCTGCTCCATCTACTCTGCTCCATCTACTCTGCTCCATCTACTCTGCTCTGTCTACTCTCTGTAGCCCTATAATCTATCTAGCATGAATTACTAGTTTAGACATGGGAAGTCATCCAACCAAGTAATATAGAACTTGAGTATTCCAGACTCTTTTCTGAGCTTTATCTGAATATAGAGGAGTTTCTTTATGTAGCCAAATTCCGCACCGCGCAGTGTCTCTTTCCCTCTATTTCCCCTATCAGTGAATTGCTTCATATTATACCATCTGAAATATATCGGTGTAACAGCTTCTAAACTCTGGCATTTTGCGAGAACAAGGTAAAAGGTCACAGGGGATACATAAACTTCAGGTTTTCCCGATCAGTCTTGTCAAGATCACGATCACCAATGTGGACAATCTGGCCGCCAGCATCAATGACTTCATCTTTGTCAGAATCCGTGTCAGTTTCAGTGAGGAGCCTCTCTCGACGTTTGTTCTCTCGCTGTAGGTAAAGTCGAATGATAATGCACATCATGGGCGAGATCAGCCAGAATGCAGTCATGAAGGCCCAGGGTAAGACATAACGAGGTTTGTATTTCGATTGCCAGAATCTGTATCACATGTCAGCGCTATATTCCTTAGCTGGCATCCCTAGATCAGACTAACTCAGGGGATATCATGTTTGCGACAGAAGCAGCCACAATACAAGAAGACATTAGACAGAGCTTCTTTGTGTGTCCAGTTGTTGTCGTCCCAGCCCAACTGAGGCCGAGAAGGTAGGATGGTTTGAATGTAGATATTTGGGTGCCAACTACCAGAGCCACCTTGTTTGACCACGGAGATGCTAGCTGAGAAAGAATTAATACGACAGACCAGAGACATCAAAAATACATTCGCTTACCTCAATGATGCCGCCAATGAAGCAAGGAATATAGGATATAGCACATGTGTATCCTGTACCAAGACGTGTGCTATAAAGTAAGGTGGCGGATCCAATAATCAAAATAAATCCCCAAATTGGCTTGATAATATTGAACAAAGCGCTCTCCGCTGGGGTGAAGCCAAACCCAACGACAATAAGCGGGAGCTGTTGGGATGTGTTGTTGGGGAGCTCGTTGAAGAACATGTGGAAGCTGAGAAGAACATTAGTAGTGAATATAACAGAAAGATGGACGGGACATGTCACACATGAATAGCCAACTCTTAAGGTCAGTAAAAGATTCCCGCACCTGCGACCACTTAAACGTCGAGTTTGAGATTCCAGCGTGAGTCTCGCGAATGAGTTGGATCGTATGCACCTTCTCCTCAGTGGAAAGCCATTTAGCATCAAGTGGCGAGTTGGGCAAAAATATCAGTAGAGGAATAAAAATGGCGAAGGTCAAAAGAGCACAGATGATATGAAGCCATTTCCATGAGTGGATACCCCCAGCTAGAACTCCCGACTTGTCATCAACGATGAGTTTATAGGCAATCATTGTCAACATCACATTTGCCATGCTTCCGAATGCCCACCATAGGAGCTGCACCCATGGACTCTTCTTCGGGGGGAAAAACGCTTGATGAAGGACGGCGGTTGAGGGAACAATCTGGGACTCGGTCTGCAAAGGTTAGCACATTATGAATCAAAAGTTCAGGAGGGTGTAATAACCATTCCCAGTAGAAATCGCACAGCCATCATCTGTTTACCGGTCTTGACTGCAGGATGTACTCCAAGTAACAGGGCCCAGAGGAACAACGACCCGGTAATAAAGTACTTGTGTCCAACACGTTGCGATATCCAAGCACCCGGCCAAAGAGCGATAAGATATCCTGCATAGAATAGGACAAATAGATGATTGAACTCGTTTTTCCCTTTCGACATATGGACATCTTCGAAAAGGCCCATAGTGCTAGCCTGAGACAGGGTCGACTTGTCAAGGTGAATAAGGAAAGAGATCCACCATGTTTGGCTTAGAAGACACCAGAAGTTCTTGCGGACCAGTCTTCCCTCAGCCTCTGGAGTTAAAGGCCCAACCTTGTTCTTATTCGTGTTGTAGAAATACGTTGTGTCATCGGTGTCGCGTACGTCTACCACATGAGGATCATGGGAAGGTTCACTGCCAGATGTGGCTTGGACATCGGCCTCTCTCTTTTCGCTGGGGTGAGCCATACTCGAATCCGAGACAGTCACACCTTGCTCGGGCGACATGTTGTGTCTTGATATGTGTCAATAAAACAGAATAGAATCTATCAGGATATTCAAGAGCTTTGTCCCATCACTTTATACAATGATATGGCGTTCGTTACCTTCAAGGCCGGAGAAAGCCGATGAAAGCCTTGGCTTTCCTCGAGGTTCCCAGCAGCCTTTTCCGTTTTCCGATTTTGTCTCGCCTATTGCGGCTGAGGTTAGTTAGCGTCGAGACATTCGCAATAGTTTTCGTTTCGCCTCTGATGCTGCTAATGGTCGATCATTAGGACCTTGAGCGCCAGCGAGTAACCTGCTAAGACACGGGTGACTCGTAGTCCACTAGGGATGTTCTGCCAAGACGTCTTGGTTGCATCGGGGGACCTTGGGAGTCCATGGCGTTTGAGCTTGTCAGGGCTTGTCGGGGCTTGTCTAGATTAGGTTTGTGCCGTACAAAACCCTATATGATCAAGACGGAAGGCTTACAGGGTCGACGATCGCAATCTCCATATGAGTTCTCGTATTGGGGTCTCGGCCATTATAGAATTATCAAAAATCAATTAATCAAGTGATTACAAATAAACAGGGAAGATTTAGCTGTGCGAAATGTCGCGCGGTTCGCCGGGGCCCTCTTCGAGGCCATTCCTTCGGGCTACTTCCGGACGCCAACGTCAGAATTCGCGCATGAAAGATGAGCTTTGATCGCCGTCCTGAAAAATATCTGCCGCATACTTTTCTCAAAGTGTCAGTATGCCTTGTAATTGATAATATCCCAGACCTGTCCTCCGACATTGGACATTACTCATGGATAGTTAAGGCTCGGATAATCCATAATGTACATTTATCTCCGAGCTGGCAAGAATAATTCGACTCACAAGCTACTGTAGGGCTAGCCTAACCAGAAATCTAGAACGGCGGAGATTAACATCTGCCCGAGGCTCATGTGCCTTGACGGTCAGCCGGAGTACCTTGATGGTCAACCATAGTACCTTGACGAACAGCGCAGCACGAGCTTTGGTGGCCAGAGTTTACTATACAGGGTGAGCAAAACTTTTTTCCTCTGCCATCTATCAATTCATCCATTCATCCATCCGTCATTCAAGCTATCTTGGACATCATTCCAGGTCACCAATCTTGACAATGCTATCCAATATCTCGAATCTCGGTTTCATGGCACTGCTTGCCACTCCAGCGGTCCATGCATTCAAATACTATATCAGTGAAACGAACGAAACAGGCTGCTAAGGCGCAGCTGCTGATTGCTGGACCACTCAATTGATCATTGTCACCAATGATGACGACTCATGCGACGCGATCAACAATTCTGCCGATAACGATGGCGGTCCGTTGAAACGTGGTGGAGCTCGCGAGTGGCCAGCCCAGGATGGACATCCGGCCTTCACTATAGTCATAAACAACGACGAGAACTATGACTCGACCAATGTTGGCGGCCAGGTCGGCAATGTTAAATGGGATGACGGAAAGACCTACCCCATGACTGTTAGTTTTCGGGCTAGCTGCTAAGCCGGCCAACCCCTGGTCTCGGGTGGTGTAACCCGCACGTTGGTTTTTCCTAGCTAGAATGTCCCCTCGATATTAGTGGAAGATAAAGGAGGGAGGAATAGTGCTAAATGTACAGGGTAAGAAAGGAGAGGACATATTATCTAAATAAATCGACACCTGATAGAGAAATCTGGGTCTGCACGCGATCCGACTGCTCAGCCGCATACCTGAATCTTTGTGTTCCCGTAGCTAGCATCTGAGCAAGAATCTAAGTAAGGATCGTCGAGAGAATAGAAGGCTCCAAGCAGATCTATCGAGGAGGCATCCGATCCTTAGTAGGCTACGTGCGTGTAGTCGATATTTGCACAGTATGTAGTTCAAACCCATCACTTTGTCTTTAAAATGGCCCCTGGCGATAGAACCTAGCGGTACAGATTTGCAAGTACGAACATGTAAACCTCCATTCGTTGTAGGATACGAAGTCTCAGAAACTTGTCCGCAGAATAATCCTTAGGCCCTCGGAACTTGAGACGGAACGTTGACCTTATCTGACATGTATGCATCTAGGCCAGGGCTGGACTAACGCGATAAATGCGACGGTTGCGTTCCGCCCCGTGGAAGAAGAGCGACCCACGCGCCCCATTCGACCTTGCCGCCGGCCTGTACCTGACGATGTTGATGATATTGACGATTCCGGATCTCCTGCAAACGGCAACGGCCCGTGTCGGAGGATGACACCGAGGTCGCCCTGCGCCAAGCGATGGAGTCCGTTCGGGTCAAGAATCGGGAACGACCCACAATCTGCTTTTATGTGCCCGGGAAACCCTAACCTCCCACTTAAGGAACGGATTGCGAGATACAAGACACCCGGTTCACTTACCAGATCTTTTGAATAATGCCAAAACCTGCTACAGAACGGTCCTATAAGGCCGGACTTAAGGAAAGCTAGCACAAGAATGCCAACCAGCTATATTCGTGTTATAGTAAAACAGTGTCATCTAAGTCATTCTTAATCACTGTCGATGGGTTTCTAGTATAGTACAAGTTTTGTTCGTTACGATGTGCATTAATGATACACATATATATATATAACGCTCAAGCCATAGCAATAAGTCAGAACCTAAGTGCGATGCGACTTCTCTCCATCTCGTCACTGAATCGGACTACGAACTACGTGCTAGCATCTTGCGTTGTTATATATCTACTTCTGAGCGGGATAAACGCTAACATTATATCGAATGCGACGTGCTACGACAACGATATATTCAAGTTATTGTTCCTTGTTTGTTTTTAATTTAATTTTTCAAGACAAGATTGTATTGGCAGGAAATAAATATGTAATGTGACTTTTTGTACTTCAATCAGTCATACAAAAATTGTGGATGCAGCACTGAAAAGATGGATAAATGATGTACGCCCCTAAGCGCCAGAAGGGTATGTAGCGTGAGAACGATTCGGCATGAGAAAGGGATAGAGCTTGTTAGCAGGACGATAACAAGTCTAACAAGGAAGGGCAACGAGTCCCCATTTTGGTAAAGTGAGGACCGTAGACCATCCTTGTGTAGTTGTAGATTCGCCGTCCAGGGATATGTTGGATCTCTGTAGAATCTGAATGATCAGAAGCAAAAAAGAAAATGATGAAGAAAAGAATAGAGAAATAAATAAGAAAGTAATCGAGACCCGATAACGTTAGATAAAGAATCCCCTGTAACGCCAGGCACAGGAATTTAACGGCACGAGAAGATAGGGAATGTTTTCCGATCGTGAATGTTCAGTGGAAATTCAAAGATCCCCTCCAGTGTGGCGATGTACCTGCAAAAGTTAGTTTGATTCCGCAAAGTTGCCGCATTATACACCCACAATGTACGGCCATCGGCGCCCCAGCCAACTCCAGCAGTAGAATCTGGCTCCTCCGCGCCGCAGCCATTTATTGGATTTCGATCAGGGAGGTCATTGATTATGTTTCTGATCCAGCGGGGAGAGTGTGTCTGCTCAAAACCGAGAAGCTGTTGGCGATGCCGTTGTTCCCTTTCAAAGGAGCGGTTATGTACCTCGTTGGCAATCTGGCGCTGACGCCGAAGCCGCTCAGCAGCGACATTGGCACGAATCTCATAAGTGGTGAGGCGTGACGTATCATGTCTCCTTTCTGCTCCGGTCTGTTGTCGTTCAATACGCCGGGGAATGGAGCTTGATCGCTGTGATCGGTGGCTCAATCCATGCATGTCTAGGCTTGGATTAGAAGCTCCAGTCGCTTCAGTTGGGATGCTAGTTTCGCTATTGGCCGCTTCAGGATCGGCACCACTCCGAGATATAATTTCTGACCTGATGGGTGTAAGCTCTGAATGTGAGGTGGAATAGCTCAGGGTGATGCCAGGTTGCCGATCATGGTGTGAGGACGTCGCTTCCGAAGGTCGATTCCCTTGAGATATCACCACCGAGTTCTGGCGTCTTGGGTTGGATACAGCGCGGCCCAGATGGCTATCCCGGGAGACATCAGAAGAATCATAGCGACGCATGGGCGAAGTAGGACGATGAGTGCGAGTAGTACCATCTGGAGAACCGTGATTTTGCGGCCGAGTCACTGCTTGAGGTTGAAGGTTTGCCCTAGCTGGGCGCTCTGGTCGCTCAGTAAGTCCTTCTTCCAGCCGCGACGTCCACCGTGCCGTGTTCAAAAACTCCATAATCAACCTTTCTCTTTCGGTAAGATCTTGAATCAGAGACTCTCGCAGAGACGAACGCTCCGTTTGCTCTCCGTTCCGTTCCGTCGGAAAGTCTTCATTGTCGAGTCTTACTCGTGGTGGCGTCTCCGGAAGATCATCTCCGAGCGGGTGTCGTTCGAGGTTCTCTATCGAAAAGTCCGTATACACTTCCTGCAATTCTGGATCATCGGAGTTTAAATGGAGGATTTGCCTGCGCATAAAATGTTGCCGAACGTCGGCCACACCGGCCCTGCCGTGGCCCTCCAGCCATACAAGAAGGTCCCATGGCTCAGGCGAAAAGGCCATACAACGAACGGCACCGCCCTCGGCGCATGATCTTGATGCCGGGAATTGACAAATAATAGGGGAGTCGTCTTCGGAGTCGCCCAAGTGGTTGTAGATGGACTCGACGTCGACAATCGTGATGATTCCGGATTGGGATCCGATGGCGCACAAGCGACTAGATGGCGAGAAGGCAACAGTGAAGCAACACGCATCATCCGCCCGCAGGCCAATGTTCATCTCCAGGCGATTGATAAGCTCCCACTCCCATCCTGTGAGCTTCTCTCCAGATTCAGTTGTTCCAGACGATTCCAGATCACGAGTGATTTCATAAAAGTAGGCGTGGTTCTCATCCCCTACTGCCGTGAGCAGTTTGGAGTCCGGGGAAATCGTCGCATAGTTCATACAAGTCGGATGATGAAGGACCTTCAAGACTTTCGCGCGAGTCAGTGAATACACCGTGACTGTCCGATCATTATTGCTATTCATATGTTAGCATGATCAGCACATCCAATTTTCCAACCAGCGCCCACCTCAGAACCACGACATCTTCATCCGCCAAGTCCTCGCTGCCACCATAGAAACGATGGATTGTCACTGAATTGACAATGCTCCCACCAAACCTGTGAAGCTCTACTTCCGGAGATGATCTGCTGCTTCGATAGCGGGTTGATGCGGACTCGCTATTGAAATCGCCCGAAGTCATGCTTGACGGTGGGTCGAGATCAAGAGGTAGCGCACTATCTACATCATGGAAGGGCGCATCTCCATGGACCTGCATTCCGCGATCACCAATGCGAATGAAAGCACATTCGCCATTTTCCGGGCCCCCCACTACTATCCAACCATGCCCAGCGACCAGACAGCGCGGCTCAAATGGGATCACCGCCACACTCTCGCGCTTTTGTCCCGATATGTGTATTGAATACACGATTCTCTCGACGACGACATAAATGCGATCGGGATCAGCAGTACTAATGTAGTTGCGAAGCTGTGTGTGACTAAAACAAAGCTCTCTTAAGTTAGATTGCGAATGTGAAGATAAGCGGGTTGATCAACGAACAAGTTGGGGATCTTGAACGGGAAGAAGCGTCGCTTGGTCGGGAGGATAAGAGCCTCGGTTGGGCGATGTCTAAGACACGTTAGTGTTATTCCGATAGTAGGATGCACCTGGGCAGGCTCTCACAGCAGAGTGGAATCCGAGGTCATGGTGGATAGAGCTAAGCCAGAGATGACATTGTTCGAGCGGGGAAGTTCTGAAGACAAGAGAAACGGGGGTCCCCGTCGGAGTATGGTCGACTAGATAGCTGTCTAGGCAGCGGACACCTTTTGTTTTGTTTTTTTTTTTGTTTCTTGAATAAATTTCCTTTTGAATCTGTGCTCTGCAGTGTTCAATGTCCAACTGCCCAGGTGCTTTGGATGACGTAAGACTTTGGACTGGGACAAAAAGCCGGGGAACTGCAAATTCCAACGAATGCGGTTCGACTGTCACCCCCGGAACCGGCTTTGATCATTCATGATGATGCACTACACTATTTATATGGTTTTGGCTGTTTTTTACATTTACCCGTGAATATCCTTGAAGATCCTAGGTATATACTCGATAGTAATATTCGCCATGTTGCCACCTAAGTCACTCCTAGTCCCAACGATCTGGACCGGGCATTGTTTTCCTCCAAAGTACTCCGTACATGAATTATCATTGACCATCTAGATCTAGACGGACTTTTAGCTCGAATTTCAATCTTGTCTCAGGTTCAGCCAAATCAACGAAGGGGAGGGTTTGCCGACCAGGTCACACGACACGTTCAGAGTATGACTGGTTCACCCACTGGAGATACACGATCGTCGCAAGTGTTATGAGCAAGAAATGCTTATTGCGACAGCCACTTTGCATGGTTTTTGCATTGATATAAGACCAGCTCGCATACTATATGGACCTCGGGAGTAGTTCGGAGCTTTTCAGTCTTTGCCACAGCGGAATGATATGCCATTAAACTGCCAGTTGAGATAGGGATATTGGGGGTAGTCAAGCGGATTACTGACTGAAACAGTGTGAACTCTACATGCTCCTTATATGCTCTATAGTCCACTCTCTGAATATATATATCCCAAGATATCTCAATTTCCCACTCCCAATCTCCAAATCTCCCATTATTGTATACTCACATATCCGGCACAAGGCGGTGAGCTCGGTTACCTAGGAGGCTGTCGACGGGAACTCCCTTCCTGATTGGTCAGATCCCGTGATTCTACCAAGTTCGACGGGCCGAAGCTCTCCGTGCAATTTCTATTTCCTTTTCCCCTTCTTTTCGATTCCATCTCTCCATCTCCATCTCTTCAAATCCCTTCTTCTGTCCTTTTAATACTTCACGATTGAGTCGTTGGAGTTTCTCTTTTTCTCTTTTTATTAATTAATTTTATCACAATGCTTCCTCGCACAATTACTCGCGGAGTAAGCTTTCCCTTTTACCTAAGGATAAAAAACCTTCCAACGCGTCACAGGTCACTGACTCATTCTTTCACAGCTCCCACGCGCTGCTTTCGCTCGCACTCCCGCCTCCAGACTCCCTGCCTCATTCCGGAGATGGAACTCCACAGAGGGTGGTGAGGAGAAGGTGAAGGGCCAGGTCATCGGTATTGATCTTGGTAAGTCCTGGCGCGATGTGAACATCAACTTTGAATGAACAGTATTCTAACATTGTTCATTATAGGTACCACCAACTCTGCCGTGGCTGTTATGGAGGGCAAGACCCCTAAGATCATTGAGAACGCTGAAGGTACGTGAGAAGAAATTTTTATCTCCTGTGGACAAGTGGTCAGAGCTTCGGAGCTCGACTATAGGAGACTTTCACCCGCCTTTTGATGGGCTCAAGTGAAATTGGAAATTAACTCAATTTTTCAATAGGTGCTCGCACTACTCCCTCCGTTGTTGGTTTCGCCCAGGATGGCGAGCGCTTGGTCGGTATTGCCGCTAAGCGTCAGGCCGTTGTCAACCCCGAGAACACTCTGTTCGCTACCAAGCGTCTGATCGGTCGCAAGTACACCGATGCTGAGGTCCAGCGTGACATTAAGGAGGTCCCCTACAAGATCGTCCAGCACACCAACGGCGACGCCTGGGTTGAGGCCCGTGGCCAGAAGTACTCTCCTTCCCAGGTTGGTGGCTTCGTCCTCAACAAGATGAAGGAGACCGCCGAGCCTACCTCAGCAAGCCCGTTAAGAACGCCGTTGTTACTGTGCCCGCCTACTTCAACGACTCTCAGCGTCAGGCTACCAAGGATGCTGGTCAGATTGCCGGCCTGAACGTTCTCCGTGTCGTGAACGAGCCTACCGCTGCTGCTCTTGCCTACGGTATGGAGAAGGAGGCTGACCGTGTCGTCGCCGTCTACGATCTCGGTGGTGGTACCTTCGATATCTCCGTCCTTGAGATCCAGAAGGGTGTCTTCGAGGTCAAGTCCACCAACGGTGACACCCACCTTGGTGGTGAGGACTTCGATATTCACCTCGTCCGCAACATCATCAACGAGTTCAAGAAGGAGACCGGTGTCGACCTTACCGGCGACCGTATGGCCGTCCAGCGTATCCGTGAGGCCGCCGAGAAGGCCAAGATCGAGCTGTCCTCTTCCCTCCAGACTGAGATCAGTCTTCCCTTCATCACTGCCGGCGCCAGCGGAGCTTTGCACATCACTCAGAAGATGACCCGTTCTCAGCTCGAGGGTCTGGTTGAGCCCCTTATCGGCCGCACCGTTGAGCCCGTCCGCAAGGCCCTGAAGGATGCCAACCTCCAGTCTGGCGACATTCAGGATATCATCCTGGTCGGTGGTATGACCCGTATGCCCAAGGTCACTGAGTCCGTCAAGTCCATCTTCGGCCGTGAGCCCTCCAAGTCTGTCAACCCCGACGAGGCTGTTGCCATCGGTGCCGCTATTCAGGGTGCCGTCCTGGCTGGTGAGGTCACTGACGTCCTCCTGCTCGATGTCACTCCTCTTTCCCTCGGTATCGAGACCCTCGGCGGTGTCTTCACCCGTCTGATCAACCGCAACACCACCATCCCCACCAAGAAGTCCCAGACCTTCTCCACCGCTGCTGACATGCAGACCGCTGTCGAGATCAAGGTCTACCAGGGTGAGCGTGAGCTCGTCCGTGACAACAAGATGCTGGGCAACTTCCAGCTTGTTGGCATTCCCCCCGCTCACCGCGGTGTCCCCCAGATCGAGGTCACCTTCGACATTGACGCTGACTCCATCGTCCACGTCAACGCTAAGGACAAGTCCACCAACAAGGACCAGTCCATCACCATTGCCTCCGGTTCCGGTCTTTCCGATGCCGAGATCCAGTCCATGGTTGAGGACTCCGAGAAGTACGCTGAGGCTGATAAGGAGCGCAAGGCCGCCATTGAGGCTGCCAACCGCGCCGACAGCGTCCTGAACGACACTGAGAAGGCCCTCAAGGACTTCGAGGACCGTCTTGACAAGGCCGAGGCTGAGACCATCAAGGAGAAGATCGCTACTCTCCGTGAGTTCGTCGTCAAGAGCCAGTCCGGCGAGAGCACCACCACTGCTGAGGAGCTCAAGGAGAAGGTCGACGACCTCCAGACTGCCAGCTTGACCCTCTTCGACAAGATGCACAAGGCCAACAGCGAGCAGCAGCAACAGCAGCAGCAGGGTGGTGAGCAGCAGGGTGAGAACAAGCAGTAAACGCTTTTCCCTCTATAACTGCCACACCTGAACCGTAAATGGTTCCTGTATTTTTCTATGTGTTTCTTTTTGATTTTTCCTTTGTATCCAGAGACTCCCTGATTTTTGCATCTCCTTTTCTCGCATTTACCTGTACACATACTTTCAAGGCCCTTTTTACCCCTTTGCGTTTTCCGGTGTATCGGTGTTCCACTACCACACCCATGTATGATTCTAAATTTTTCTTTTCTTTTCTGCCCTCGTGTCCCTGTTCAGGTTCATCACCTGGAAGTGATCATTCCGGGATTGTCTACAATTGTATCTAATGACATTACGGCAGGGGGGCCACAAAAAAGGATGTGGTAGGCTTTGGTTTTCATGGGCATGTGACAATAGAAATCGGACAATTCTCCTCTCGCTTCACAATTATTTTCTTCCAACTCCCAGCTCTAGGATCTAGTATCAACGTTATCAACGTGCATGTGTACATATGTAGCTTTCCACCTATTTGCCAGTGACACGCGCAGTTGGAACAGTTGCTGCCTCACGGATGCAGACACAGTTGTTTCCGGTCTATCACTTCCAACTTCACATACATATGTACGCACATGGAGGTACTTGATACCAGCCAATCCAGACTTCCGAAGCATAGAGGAAAACAACACACTGCTCGAATCGCACTGCAATATGATACGCTTTTTCAGTCTGCATATGGCATGATAACATATATATTATCGGTAACCATAGTAGCTACAATGAAAGTTGGCCGTGGCCGCTGTCCTTGAGGACATAGGACCATAATTCCGATTCAGTTGTCTAAGGCTGACACAAGGGACGTTATATCTAAGGTAGCACTACTCCGTACGATGCTTTTTTTAGATGTCTTTACACCTTCTCCGTGTTACAGCTAGAAAGGTATGAAAATGGTGGTAAAAAGCCTGAAACGTATAGGCATATTTTCTGTGGAGTAATGGATGTATAACCAGTGATATATAGCCAGCGACATCGCAACCAATAAAAGCAATAACGGCCAAGCTGACCATGATTACGATGTACATTGGTATAGTGGTAGCAGTGGCTATTATTGTCCGGAATACATTTTTAACGCGTTTAATTATAACCATATTACTGGACTCTCAACATCATGCCCACCACAAAGTCAAATATCAGGAGCGATGACAAAGATGATAGGCTAGAAGCTCCAATGGCGCACGGGTTTTGACCCTTAGTCCCATCAGAGCACACGTTGAGCCAGTCACCCGAAACTGTATGGCTTCCAATCGCACCAATCTATTAATTTAATTATGGCGTCTGCATCTCCACTTTGCTACCATCGTACAAGGTTTGAACTGCAGCCCGTTTGGTTAGACCAATCGTCTCTACGGAGTATAGTCTCGTCATCCTTGCATTATCCACAGAGGATCAAGGCTAGTTTACTCTTACTAGTGAATGATGGGACTCAGTGGAGAGGAGCTAGAGTGGAGGAAGGTATGAGAGGGGTGTATAACGGAGTAGCTAGGTACAATTATACATCGAGAGAGGTAAAAGGTAGGTTTCTGCAAGCTTCTATTGCATCCCTTGTATCCCCTTAACTTTAACAATGCATGCTTAACCTTAGGACAATTGCCCTTGATATGCACTTTCATATGAACAAAGGAGAAACAAGATTTGGGCTACATTAAGACCACACGAGAAAAGCAATGTCCTGCCATCAGACCAATCTGGACTCGAGTGGTGACGGAGCGAAGCAATCGTGCAGGCTTCGCTGCAGCGGTGCGGTCGAGCAGCAAATCATCGTTGTACACACCAGTTGGGCTGCCATGGTGGGTCATTTCCAACGATGTGTGTAAATAATAATTATTTCTAATAGATTCTATACGAGGCTTTGTGGGGGTTGAACGCAGGACATTTGAAATAGACAGGGGAGTAAGATGACTGATATAATATGGTATCCGACCTACTATTGTTCTATATTGGTAAATTTAGCTGCCACTATCAATACTGCAAGATATACTGGATCTTGTATATCAAAATCTGAATGCAAGATGGCTCTTTAAATTTAAATCCCGGTGCAAGTAGAAAATTTTCCAATGCCCACATAACTGCCCCCTCGACCATTCGTCGATCACTTCTTGTGTGAGACCATCTGCGTTAGCGTGCCCCTAGTACGTATGATTATTTTCATTTCCCCACTCTGTTGACAGGGCATTTTTTTCCTTTTCCTTGTTTGAGGATGTTTTCCTCTTCTGTCTTTGCTTTACAGGCTAAGCCCTGGCGTTTGCAGACCCATCGCCATAGAGAAAATACGGAGTACATCCAAGTCATTTGAGCAGAAAACCCATACAAGACCCATATTCTGGATTACGTATGGTTCGGGGACACTACCTAGGTAAATTTGTGGATTGACCTTTCCTTGATTTCTAATCCCTTGGAAAATATTACACAGCTATGTTGTATGATGTATTTGTTATTGTTCTTGATTGTGTACAATATATAGGGAGTAATCGGGATAGGACCGGGGTAGGTCTAGTTCCAAGGTTACAAGGAGAGACATAACAAATCAAATAGCTTGATGCCACCAGACAATAATATGTGGAGAGCAATGTACCGGACAAGAATGATACCAAGAACGGAGTACGGAGTACATGGACATGACTAGAAGTATCGCAAGATCCATTGTAATTCTTCCCGCTTCTACGGAGTATGGCTACCATGGAACTTCTCAGGAACAAGTTCTTCCCCCCTTTACATAATGATCTCCAAGGACGAGCACAACCCTTGGCAGGAATGGGGGTAGATCTGTTGCTTATTATTGGACGGTTCATCCCGGAATTCAGTGACAAAAAAAAATCAATCGCGGAGGCTCTGATTCGAGGCTTTGACTATCGAGTTTAGCTTTCTTTTAGGGTCAAGAGATATATACATGAACCTTGATTAATATACTATAATAGGGTAAGTGACTCCTACTTTCTCCGGGGAAAAGGGATCTAAAACTATTGGGAAAAATTACTGAAACTGGAATTCCTTCCCCATTACTTATATTACTTATATTACTTTGAAATTCTAGTCTATCTGTTTGGACCAATGACGCTCATGGGGGTGACTGCAGTCAGAATTTTTAGACTTGTCAAGTTCAGAGCCCCTGAAGGATGTCAAGTGATTTTTTAATTCAATTCTGTTAATTTACAGATGCCGATCATTGGTCCGGTAGATTAAGACTCCATTCTGATCCAAAGGAAATGAACTTTAGGGCTCAGATTGTGATTTGATTACATGCTAGCGTCGTGCCAATTCCATGGATGAGTGTGACTTTTTCAGGTTTGGGGCTCCATCGACCACACTGGGAAATTAAAAAACATTCTCTTTAGGTACTGTATTTTGTTTTTCATTGTACATTGTACATTACTATTAGTACTACAGAGTAGTCCACGGGTACTAGTATATGTTACATATTCATTAAACATCCAATATCCTATTCAATAATATACTAGATATGTCTACGATCAATCACAATCGAGATCCCCTGAGTCGATCCCCTTACGCCGTTACGGGAATTTTCAAGATAACGGGGGTGCAGAAGGGTCGCGCTAGTGGAAGAGTCATTTCTTATTTTCTATTATTATAATAATTTGACATTTTTATTTTATTTTATTTTGTTTTAGTTATTTTATCACTCTTTTTTTTCCCATTATTTTTTCCCTATTTTATTATAGAATATAGTTAGCTCCAAGGTCTGTATGTCAATCCTTTCCAAACCGTCGACCCATAGATCGGAGATGGGTCTTCCCTTTCGATCCTTGTCTCATCCTGTTTCCTTTTTTCTTCTTCTTTTCCCTTTTTGACTTCTTCATCTCCTCAGCTTCCGGTGGAGGGTAACTGTATAACCTCTAGCACCTCCATCCATAACAATGACAACTGCACCGCCGGTGCATCACTCTGGCCCAGATAGTGGTATACCCGGCCATCTCGTCAACCATCTTCCTCGCTATCATCCCATTGCCATGAATCCGAATCCGCCTCCACACCAAATGCCACCTCCGGAGCAGATGGTGCAGAGCCACCATTTCCGTCATTTCGCGCCGCCTATGCATGAGCATCATCCCCCACCAGGAGTACCGCCAGTACACAGTCCAGCTTCTTTGGAGCATATTGAAGCTCGACTCCGGCATCTAGAGCACGAGGAAATGGCCCGGAACGCTACCCGTAGTCGCATCTTGGCAATGCGCAAGCATGAAGACGAGGAATTTCGAGCAATGACGGAGCGAGCCGAGGCAGAGGAAGAGGTAAGACGGATTTTGATACCCATCTAAGGATTTCGGATATTAAACCAAACTTCACAGGACCTTCGAAGACAACGCAAAAAGTTAAAGAGAGAGTCTATGGGCCTGGGGCTCAATGCCGCGGGTGACTCGCCGCCTCTACGGCCCACACAACCTCGCCGATTATCAGAGACCAGTGCAGCAACAACATTGGCTTTCTTCAAGCAGCAGAGTCCCCCCGAGCCCCGTCAAGCACCCCTTCCACCTTCATCTCAGGCACCCCCCCTCAATGCCGCCACCCCATATGCACGCCCAACCTCATCATCAAGCTCCCCCGCCTCCCCCACCATCTCAGCATCAACACCCAATGCTTCCCCATGACTCAATACACAGCGGCTCTATCCGCCGCAAGCAAAAATACACCATCAAAAATGTAGAGGCATGGGGCGAACGCCACGGCCGACCAGCAGCCCATGACCCATCCGGGCGAGCGTTGTGGAAACGGCCCTCAGACGGAAGCCTAGTATATCTCACCTGTCCGATCCACGGCTGTGGGAAATCGGACTTCGTCACCCTGCACGGCTTCATGTGCCATCTCACCAAGAAACACAAAGACCGCACCCTGGGCAGCCAGTCCCGCGCCCTCGAAGTCTGCGGTGTAGTCAACGACCCGAACGCTCCCCTCCCACCAGTCATGAACAACCACCGGGGCTCAGCAGAAGGAAGTCCGCCGGGCTCAATTCCACTGGACCACGACGGCGACCAGCAGTACGAGGACATGGACTCGGAGTCCGAGGGTGAGCTGGAGCGCGAGGGTTCCTACCGAGTCAAAACCGAAGTTCTAGAACGGTTCATGCCCGATGCAGAGGTCACTCCTATCGATTCCGCTGCAGCAACACCACCCAAGCATGCAGTCAACGGATCCACCAAGCAGTCCATCTCGTCTATTATTGACCGCACGCCGGAGACAGAACCCAGAGAGGCGCTGGCGACGCTTCCACCGTCAGAATCTGGTGTCCAGGGTCCATCTCCTACACCAACTGAGTCGTCTGTGCCGTCGAAGCGCAAGTATGAATTCTCGCCTGCGGCGGAAAAAGAAAATGCGGAGCCTTAGATGCTGTCCTTGCGGAGTAATGTTTATCTTCAATGTCGATTCCCGCCGGCTATACATATATACACATACATAATTTCTTGGGCGTCTACGGATACCAGCGCTCTCGATATGATAATCAATTGCATCATGTTACTCCTATATCTCTTGCTGTATGTGGCGTTTAGAAATGCTGTCTTCGACTTATTATAGATACCCTTTCGGTATACTGGGTGGTCCTGGTGCCTTCCAAGGTTTCATTCCATTTGAATTTAGGAGAGCGTTATCATCATATAATGCTTCGGCTAGTTCCACACTGAGCATGAATTCATCTTATGTATCTACCACAGAAGACATGTCCCTTTTATGTAACATTTATTGAGGTAGACAAAAGCGACTTTTGCTTTTATTGCACCTATGAACTTGCGAAATCCACATCTATTAGAATACGAAACCAGGAGATTGTGCCGGCAAGCGATTGTATAACTGGAAGTACCGTTTTAGGCTGTTTGCTGTCAATGCAGGAAATGGGTCAAGGTGTTTCAAGATATCTATTACAACTCATATTGCTCAAATAAATCAAGTATTTGCCCAAATTCCGACATCAATTGATGAAGAACATCTATAACCAGCAGACGTTGTGTACTTGATTCATGGTTATAGGACCATGCTTTCCTCTGGTAGCTGTCCGGGCGAGCTCTTCGGGTAAGGATACGTGTAGTAGCTGTCATGACGGTGTAGGCCTCTAATCCGCTACTAATAACACCGGCAAGCTTCGTCGGTGGTCTGTATGCTTTCTAGTCGTGGTCTCCCAAAGATATCAACATATCGAGATATTCGTCCTTACTCTGAAAACACTCTTTAAGTGTTCTTCCAAACAATCTCGCTATCCCACTGTACGTTGTCAAACTTCATAGTCTGTGGCTTAGCATCTTCAACTACTCAGCAATCTCATCTCGCATTTCACCATGCACCTCAACGTCTCCATAGATCTCTCTCCATAGTTGTACCTGATGATTTAGGTAAGGGGGGAGCTTGAGCCTCTTAAGTTAGCTAACTATATACAGTACCTAGACAACATACATCCCCCCGACACATATACCCAGAGCCACCCATATCTACTTATGTTGTATCTACAGCTGTATCCTATTTATCCCTCAGCAATAACAAATGTACCAAATATCCAGACCCGCTCTTCAATCCCTCCCCGAGCACATCGTCTCTCAACCTCCAAACCCGAAACTCCCGCATCGTCTCCCTAAGCCAAGTCTCAAATACATCCGGTGACCGCTGCTGCTGCGCGATAATGCAAACAGTCGGCCTGCGGTGCGAGCGAGATTCCTCAGAACCTGCCACATACGCCGGCCGCAGTCGACAGATCTCGGTGCAGGTGCGCACAAACGGCGCCACGAGTGCTTCGTTGTAAATGCAGTCACAAGAAAGGAGGAGGTCGAAGCCTTTATCTTCCTCTCCTTCCTCTCCATCTCGGCCATGAGCCTCGTCGGGATCCATACATTCCTTCAGTGAGGCAGCCTGGTCAGTCTCCCAGTCCAGCGTTGTGAAGGAGATATTATCGACAGGCTTGGCGGCCGAGCTTGGCTTTGATTTTGATGATTTGGTTCCCTTGCTCTTGCCTTTTGCTTTGTTGTTGCTAGAAGAGACAGAGACGGACGCATTGGCGTCAAGATTCGTGCGGAACAACTTGCGCACGTATTCCTGGTCTGTGGCGATGTAGTGGCGCACTGAGGGCGCCAGTGCGAGCGCGACTAGTGCAGAGATCCCGGTGCCGAGTTCGGCCACTGTCGAGGTCTGGCTGAGGATGGCGTTGGTCCAGAGCGGGTTTGCGGGATTGGTTATCCATTCTGCGAATAAGGGGGTAATTTTCCAAAGAACTAGTTGCAGGGTTAGTACATATTTAATTTCGGGATGGACCGTTATTGAGGGCAGTGATCGTGAAAGCGGGTGATGTTTTTGTGGATAAGTCGGGAAGTCGCCAAGGTATCCCGAGGCAAGAACAAGGGAAAAGCCAAGGGATAGCAGAGCAGGTGACAATTCGACCTCGTGTTGGGGCAGAAAAGCATAATGTGACAGCGTTAGGGTCCAAGTCAAATGAGACATTCACCCCGAGAGCCGAGGCACAGACAAAACAGCGGATAGGACGATTGAACGCCTCGACCCTCGGGCCTGGTCTGGGCACTTCGGACTCGGGTAAAAGACCTGCGGAGAAGTCCGTGCTTGGGTTTGTGTCTCTGGGGATTCCGGGGACAAATCATAAAGGAACTGGTGCAGATCATGCGAGCTCCTATGTTGTATGCGTACCGGAGTCCGTACTCCGTACTTACCGGCGCCTGTAGTTCCCCCAGCTCGATGGGAGGAGAGTAATGATGGTGATTGATGGACTGTGTATTCATTGCCATTGATAGAGATCTCTACTGAAGGTGCACGGGGATTGAGCATCCCCAGGTTGTTGCTTGGGATGTCTTGTGCGAAGAGGAGGAATGATTCTATAGCAAGTTCAGTAAGTGGCTAGACTTGGGATATCGCGGGGGTGGCGTACCCTCATCCATGTCGATGACCTCTTCCTGGGAAAGTAGGTCGATGATTTGGTCCATGATTTGATATCCATGGATGTTTTAGGGATATTCTATGGGTTGGAATATTTTGGATACAGTTTTTAGAGGGATCACGGGACCAGCGATATAACTATGTAAATGGGATATAAAATGCAGAATGCAGAATGCAGAATACAAAATACAAATATAAAGTATACTTAGAATGGCTACATACGTATATATACTATTTACTCTGCTTCTAATTCTACGTACTCCGTGTATATTGTATAGTTCCCCGTATACCCCGTATAAAGCTATGACTTCTTAAAATTTGTTGGGTTTCCCAACAGAAAGGGAAAACGGGAACTGATCTCCAGGGTAAATAGGACGTCAAAAGCTAAATACTATCTTCACAGGCCTAATACTATTTATTCAAGTTCAGATTATGTATTAAATGCTTGCATTTGAGAAATAAATTAAACAAATTAAATACAAAGAAAAAAGAAAGCAAAAAAGGCCTCCGTGCGAGTCCAAAGTACTCGAATATCCGAAAAACCTTGGACCTTGGACCTCCTGCGTCATTTGCCGAGCCACCTCTCCAACCTTCCACGAACTTACTCCTCTTCTTCCCCCAGGTGAATGCTCAGATCGTACTAATACTCCCATCTATTCCCTGACTTGGTCAGTTCTCCCGTTGCGAGCTTCTTCTAGCTTCCTACAGCTCTTGTGTCTTTCCCCATTCTTAGCTCCGCGCTATTCCCGCACTAGCTAACCTCCGCCCCCCCTCGAGTAGAGGATCTTTTCCTTCGAGTATCCTCCGTACCCCCGGCTCCTTCCGTTTTTCCCCTTGAGCAAGCCGTACAGTCAATATGTCAGTGCAAAACGTCCACATCCAACCGCGCATGGTCAAGAAGGGCCCCTTCTCGGTCGAGGCGCCCGGATATGAGCGCGTCCCCGGTGAGACAATCCCCCGTCGACACCCCAAGGCCAAGGATGGCCTCATTACGACACTCGAAGGTGTCTCTACCACCTATGAGAATATGCGCCGATCCGCTCAAGTCTTTGGCAACTCCAAAGCTGTCGGCAGTCGCCGACTAATCAAGACCCATGTGGAGAACAAGAAGGTCAAGAAGATCGTGGATGGTGTTGAGCAGGAGGTCGACAAGAAGTGGACTTATTTTGAAATGAGTGGTTACACCTACAAGACCTTCCTTGAATATGAGAAGCTCTGTCTGGAGCTTGGTAGCGGTCTCCGCAAGCTGGGCTTCGAGAAGGGCGGGAGAATCCACCTCTACGGTGCGACGAGGTAAGAGACACATTGCGCCTCCCAAGAGATTCGAGGTAGGATGACTGACTGGATTGTCTTATAGCGCACACTGGCTGGCTATGTCACACGGTTAGTTTACCCTTATTTTCCTCCGCGACGCGCAAAACAAACCCACTAACCTACTATTACAGGCGCTGCCTCTCAGTCCGTGACTATTGTGACCGCATACGATACCCTGGGCGAGGAAGGCCTAAAGCACTCCATCGTTCAAACCGGCAGCACTGCCATCTTCCTCGACCCCAGCCTGCTAAAGTCGCTCATCAGCATCCTTCGCAGCGTGCCCTCAATCAAGCACATTATCTACAACGATGACACGGAAATCGACCAGAAGCTTCTTGATCAGTTACACAGCGAGTTTATCCACATCAATGTGCAGAGCATTGAGGATTTGCGCAAGCAGGGCGAGGAAAACCCCGTGGAACCTGTGCCCCCAAAGCCGGAGGATCTGTGCTGCATCATGTACACCTCGGGCACAACAGGCCCTCCAAAGGGTGTGCCATTGACCCACGCCAACGTGATAGCTGCTAGTAAGCTAGAGAGAACCCCGGTACCACTGTTTATTAAGCTAATGTATCGCAATAGCTGCTGGTGTTCACGCCGTCATCGGTCCTTGTATCAACCACACGGATTCCCTCCTGACCTACCTTCCTCAATCTCACATTTTGGAATTCATGTTCGAGAACCTGTGCCTGTTCTGGGGTGGTACCATGGGATACGGTAACCCCCGAACATTGTCCGACGCCTCTATGCGGAACTGCCTGGGCGACATCAAGGAGTTCAAGCCTACCGTTCTGGTCGGTGTCCCGGCCGTCTGGGAGTCAGTGAAGAAGGGTGTCTTGGCCAACCTAAACAAGGCCAACTTCCTGGTCAAGGGTATGTTCTGGGGTGCCATGTCAGCCAAGAGTTTCCTCATGTCCACCGGCTTCCCTGGCTCGAACCTGGGTGTCTCGGTTTTGGACGCTGTTGTCTTCAAAAAGCTCAAGGAGGCAACCGGAGGCAGACTCCGCGTCGTCATGAACGGTGGTGGCCCAGTTTCCAAGGAAACCCAGAGATTTTTGTCAATGGCTATCGCCCCAATGATTAGCGGCTACGGTCTAACCGAGACCTCTGCCATGGGTGCCCTGAACGACCCCTTGGCTTGGAAT